TAGGGAGAAAAAATAGAGAGGTAAGACACTTGTGGGATACAGAAATGGTTTATTAGCTGTTGATGATGGTTTGTATAGTATTCTCAACTGGACTGGTCTGAGGTGTATTTCATGTTGTGTAAATTCTCTATACAAGCTAAATGATGTATAGAGATTGGATGTATAATAATAATAATAATAGTAATAATAATAATAAAGAGAAAAAAGGCCTAATATATACAATGGCCTAAATTCTTGGCATCTAGAAGGCTAATATGACCAGAGTTTGAAAGGGAGGTAGGGTTGGGAGGCAGAGAATTAAAGGATTAAGCAAGGAGAAGATCTTATAGGGTCTTGTAGGCATTATTAAGAATGCTGAAATACAGCCTATGGAATGGGAAGAAGAAGAGTGATCTAGGCAAAAATTAATTTAAAAGATATTAATCTGACATCAGTGATGAATACTGATGAGAAGGCTAGCAGGGACCCAGAAAGATCAGTTAGGAGACTATTGTTGCAATATGTGTGAAAGATTATGGTAGTTGTGCCTAAGCTGGTGTCAGAAATAATGAAGAAAAGAGGACGGCTCCCCAGAATATTTTGTAGGTAGAATCATCAGGACTCAGTGTTATGGGGGTGAGATTTAAGTTAGAAAATCAGGGATAACATCCATTTTTCTGGCTTGAATGATGGTAGCTGGTGGTACCTTTCCCTGAAACAGAGTCTTTGGATGAGGAACACATTTTGGGGAAAATATTATGACTTCAGTTTTATACACATTGTTTTAGGGTGACTATTAGTCATTTGTTTCAAAAACAAGTAGATATTTGGGGATCCTGGCTGCAGATAAAAGTTTTAAAGCAATTTGCACAATAGACAGTGATTGAAATTGGGGAATACATGAGATCATCTAGTTAGAGTGGTAAGGCCACAAAGTCTGGTGAAAACCACATGTTCTAACTCAATTATGGGAATTGGAAAAAAATGTCTTTATAGAATTAGAAAGATGGGACCAGCAAGTGACATGGTGCTTATGGAACTGATTCCACATGACTGACAATATAGTTTGAGTCGTGGACCCAGAGGCTTGAAAAACATGCCAGGCACATGTGTGTATGTGTCCCAACCTGAGAGCATTTCTCCTAAAAGGAGAATGGTGAAGAAAGGATTGTGGCATGGCCATCCCCCATAGATGTCAATTTTTTGACATTTATATTATGGGCTCCTGACAGTCAGGAGTTCCAGACACCATTAACTGACAAAAGAGATGGACTCCTGACCTCCAGTTTTAATGGTGAAACCCTGCTGACTCCTCCTCTCCAGTCTTCTTCCCCTTTCAGCTGCTTCTACTGTGTATTAAGAAAAGGCAGTAAGGGCCAGCCAGGTGGTAGGGTGGTCAAGACAGCTGATCACACATGGCTGAGTGCCTGGTTTGCATGCCAGATTTGGCAGTGGAAAATTACTCCAGGCACATGTGTGTGCATGCTCAAAAACCTTGAGAGGAGAATGAAGACGGGATTTCAGAGTAGCCATCCTCCCTGGGGGGTGATTTCTCACTTTTTCTCTCTTTCTTGCTTTCCCTCTGTCTCTTTCTGGTGAGTGCACATACCCTATAGCAAAAAAAAAAAAAAAAAGAAAAGAAAAGAAAAGAAAAGAAAAAAAGGCAACAAATAAAAAGAAGGGAAATGTAATAAAAAAAGCAGAAAATAATTATTTTGCAACTATAAACATCTGAAGTTTAGGAAGATCGATATGAATTAAGATGTGGCTGCTTGCCTAGAACATTTATAATAAAAGTTATGGGATAGCTTGAAGATATAGATAGATGATAATGTAAGACAACAGATGAAACTGCTATAACTGGGTTATTTACAAGATGACTGTAACCACATAGAGAAGGAAAAATGAACTCTGCCTTGAGGAATGAGGAAAATTAATCAACCTTTTTATTTTCCAACATATATTCTACTGTACCTTGCAGATTAGAATATGTGTTTTCATAACGATTATGTTTGGGTAATGAATTCATTCATCCTTGGGAATTTATAACAAATGTGTTTTTGTTCTGGTCAGAATTATCCATTCAAAAAACCTCATAGATATGTATCAAGTATCAACAATATGATACTCACTGTGCTTAGCATGTGACATACAAGGATAAAAGTGTTTTAAGTGTGTTAGTCAAATGTCAAACATTGCCAGATATCAATACTTCCTAAATTTCATGCTAAAAAGGAATAACATTTCTGCTATATAAAGGTCCTTTGAGGAAATAATTTTTAAATGAAATTTCAAAATCCAGTTATTTCCAAAATGAGCTAGAATTTCATAGATATACAAGGAAACTAAAAAGTTTGTGGAGAAAGGATTAAAACACAAGTTTATTTTGCTGCAAATAATGTTTAACTTTATGCATAATCTCATACTATTGGGTCATTGGAAAAGTCATGGCATTTTTTTTTCTATGCAAAAAATGCATCATGACTTTTCCAACGAACCCATAAACATTTTTCCATGAACATTTTGAATAATAATATATTACCCATGGGAAGGAAATCTGTTATAATTAGTGTTCACCATTTCCAAGTTATTATTCTAGAAGAAGCTGTATCTCACAAAATAAAGTACTCTTTTGTTTTAGACAGCTAACTGCTTTGTGTGTGTGTGTTCATTTTAGCAAAAGAATAGACTGCATAGGGAGTATCTAGCATGTATTAAGAGCTTAAAGTTTAATGAATGAGTTAGCTGTGCTGGTGGTTTTTAAGAAATTATTTAACTTTGGGACCAGCAGTTGGCATAATGGCTATGTCACTGGACTCCCATGTAGCTGACTGCGGTTTGCATCCCAGACCTGGTGGCTTAAAACTCACGCCAGGCGCGTGTGCGTGTGTGCCCAAGATCCCGAGAGGAGAATGGAGGAGAAGGGATTGCAGCGTGGCCATCCCCCCTGGGGGGTGATTTCTTGCTTTCTGTCTCTCTGTCTCTCTCTGTCTGTATGGCGAGCACATGCGCCCTATAGCAAAAACCTTTCAAAAAAAGAAAAGTATTTAACTTTGCAAGTGACCTTTTCTTTTTCAGGGAGTATATTAAATACTAGAGGATGTAACATAGCACAAATCCTGCTCTTTAGGACAGACACTAGTTTTAATCAGGGTAGTGGACACATTTTTCATGAGTCAAAAAAGTACATTACTTCTAACTTCATATAGATTTGTAGTTTTAGGCATTAATAATTTTGATTTTACCTTCAAATATGTGGGAATAATAATTGTCTCTTCAGGGGCTAAAAAAATATAAAAACAAATTTTCCTAAAAATGTGTACTTTCTATGCCTACTTGCTGTAGTGGTTATAAAGAACAGAAGAGATGGAGTAAATGCAGGTCCCACACATTGCTCAAACTAAAGCATATAAAACAGTAAGTCTATGTAATTTAAGACGTGGCTATCCTGCCTTTTCAAGCATACCCTCACAGATATTTTGAAGCTGGACTCTTACCGTGAACATTGAGGTTAAAATATTTTTTGGCACTTCCGGCAGTGTTCTCAGCAATACATGCATACCTGCCGATATCTGTTATTTGAACATTCAGAATCTAAGGGGAAAATGAAGACATTCCAGCTGAAGTTTTTAATAAGGTAACATGTCATAACTGTCATTATTTTTTAGAAAAAAACAATAGATGCTCTTCCTAGTTTATACCAGATGATCATAAGAAGTAGAAATCTTTGTACATACTGGAGCTAATGCTGGCTTTTATTAGGCCAATCCATTAAATTTTTATTCATAAAGAATTTCCATTGGAAAAGGAAATTTTGGAGACCAGCAGTTGGTATAATGGCTATATTACTGGACTCCCATGTAGGCGACCATGGTTTGAGTCCTGGACCTGGTGGCTTAAACTCATGCCAGGCACATGTGCGTGCGGGCCCAAGATCCTGAGAGGAGAATGAAGAAGGGATTGCGGTGTGGCCATCCCCCCTGGGGGGGTGATTTCTCGCTTTCTGTTTCTCTGTCTCTCTCGGTCTTTCTGGCAAACTCATGTGCCCTATAGCAAAAACTTCTCTAAAAAAAGTTAAAATATTTTTTGGCACTTCCGGCAGTGTTCTCAGCAATACATGCATACCTGCCGATATCTGTTATTTGAACATTCAGAATCTAAGGGGAAAATGAAGACATTCCAGCTGAAGTTTTTAATAAGGTAACATGTCATAACTGTCATTATTTTTTAGAAAAAAACAATAGATGCTCTTCCTAGTTTATACCAGATGATCATAAGAAGTAGAAATCTTTGTACATACTGGAGCTAATGCTGGCTTTTATTAGGCCAATCCATTAAATTTTTATTCATAAAGAATTTCCATTGGAAAAGGAAATTTTGGAGACCAGCAGTTGGTATAATGGCTATATTACTGGACTCCCATGTAGGCGACCATGGTTTGAGTCCTGGACCTGGTGGCTTAAACTCATGCCAGGCACATGTGCGTGCGGGCCCAAGATCCTGAGAGGAGAATGAAGAAGGGATTGCGGTGTGGCCATCCCCCCTGGGGGGGTGATTTCTCGCTTTCTGTTTCTCTGTCTCTCTCGGTCTTTCTGGCAAACTCATGTGCCCTATAGCAAAAACTTCTCTAAAAAAAAATAAATAAAAAGAAAGAAAAGAAAAAGAAATTTTGCACATACTTTTGGTGTATTTACTACAAAAAAATACCCCAAATTATATACACACTTCCCTATCCATGTCTTTGGCTATGACTTTGAAGTTCCTCCTGTCAAGAGATGGAGAAAAGGGCCAGTGACATAGCACAGTGGTGAAGTACTGTGCAGTGGGAGCAGATCCCACTTAGCCAACTGTACTTTGAAGCCCAACCCGGGTCACTTGAGAAACACACAGGCACATGTGAGGGCATGACCCAAATCCTGATGAGATGGGAAAAAGGATGCCTATACTCCACTGGGAGGGTGTTTTTTCTGTCTCTCTCTGATAAGAGCCCATGTCCTCTTGGAATTAGAAAACAAAGGTAGAATGAAGGTATGAATCGGGGGCTAGGTGGTACACAGTGATGACACAGCTGAAACACATGGGAGGGATCCTGGGTTTGTGTCCCCAGACCTCCCTGAGCACATCAGATACATACATGTGTGCCCACAGTGTAGGTTGGCTGCAGGTGGGGGTGGATCACGGCATGAGCACGCTTCTGGAGTGCCTATCTCTTGTCTCTCTCACTCATGCAAAAAATAAAGAAATAGACATTGAAATAATACAGAATTTGTGTTGGCCTTGTTATCAGCTTTGGCCAATAGAAGGTGGTGGAAATGTATCACTTCACGTTGGCTCACTCTTAGAATCCTGCCATCACCACGTGAGGAAGCCAGGACTAGCCCGTTGGAGAGTGAGATCATATCGTAGAATTAGCACAGTTATAGCACTTGAGGTCCTGGGTCTGTGCCAGAGCCCAGCCAGGATCAGCGGAGCCCCTACTCAACCCACAGCTCTATAAGACACTTGAGTCAGGCCAGCTGGGGGCAGGAGAATCGCCTAGCCAAAGAGACCTCCGCGCTAAAGAAATACTTACTGTTTAAGTCATTTAGCTTTGCAGTGGTTTGTTTCATGTAGCAATAGTTAACTAATACAGCAGTTAAGTTTATTTTATTATGCAGAAATACCTATCTTCATGCAAATATCTTTTGGCCCTGGGCAGAGAAATATTAAAATGTTTTGGAAGAGTATACATAATCATTAAGTAGAAATATTCACAATGTTGTAATAATTTCAGATAATTTATAAATAGTGAACTCCATGAACCATGTCCTATGTTGGATATGCTGATTGATAGGCTTAGATTCTTGGGTTAACGGAATATTGTTAAGTCATCCGGAAAGTCATGACACATTTATCTATGTTTTTCTACACAAAAATGTGTTATGATTTTCCCAACCACCCACTATTATGCTCAAGAAGTAATTTATCAAGTTGTATCTTAACAAAACAATTAGCATGATTTCCACAAGCACCTTACTTCCTGTTAGGACCCTTGAACTAAAAAATATAGACATGCCCTTTGGCAAATAAGGGTATTTATGTGACTTCCGTTACTACTCATTATAAATAGCCTTCAGCCAACACAGGACAAATTTTAATCTATGGGGACCCTTAAACACCTACAACTTTACCATCAGAAATCTGTAACAGAAAAAATATAGTAATGGCATCTTATAATGTGGCTTTTATCACAAAGACCATATTACAATATATTTAGGGGTACATATGTAAGTACAGATCATTTCTGGAGGAATTCACACGGAACTATTAACAATAGTCACTTCAAGTAATGAGGACTAGGAGGAAGAAGAATTTTATTTTATAAACTTGTGATGGTGAGTTATCATTATATTTATAAATTAGAGAAATATTTTTTAAAGTCAAAAAGATAACTATTATAATAGACACGCTATGTTGAAATTAGACTTCTGTTTTTACCTGTAGAATTCTTCCATTAGATAGAAATCTGTGGTGGTCATCTTCTAGCAGGACCTGCCCATCCTTCTGCCAGGAATTCCTTGGCGCTGGGCTGCCGCTGGACACACACTCCATCTGTGTGCTCTGAGTCACCAGCGCTGTGACCTCTTCAGGGAGATCACCATTTGCTCCCTTGATAACTGGTGGCACTAAGAAATGATTACAACCAAGAGGTGATGACAGGTAATTAGGTATTTTCTAAATTATTGTCGTTTCCTGGAAACTTTAAAAAAGTTTGGGATACAAGACTAGTAGGTGGTGTAATGGTTACATCGTTAGACTCCCATGTAGTTGACTGTGGTTCGAGTCCCAGATCGAGAGGTTTAAAACTTATGCCAGGCATGTGTGCATACATGCCCAAAGTCCTGAGAGCAGAATGGAGGAGAAGGGATTGCAGTGTAGCCTACTCCCTGGGAGGTGATTTCTTGCTTTCTGTCTCTCTGGCAAGTACACATGTCCGATAGCAAAAATCACTCTAAAAAACCTATTTGATGATGATAACGCAGAAGCAAACCTGGAAGGAAAAACCTTGATCCTCATGAGTGTAAAATTTTACACCAACAAATCAGGGTAGTGATGAAAAGTATTCTATGTTGGGTTTATTATCTTCTCTTTCTTTATCTACCCTGGCCTAACCCCTCTTATGACAGCATCATTCCCATTTAGCTCAATTTCAATCCTTCCCCTAAGTATCTTGTCTTGCTCCTCTCTCAGTCCCTTGCACTGTGCCTTCTGGATTTTCAAGCAAGTCTACAAGAAAATCTGTACAAATGATATTTAAGTCTGAGTGGTCATCAAGACAAGTCAGATACATTACATCTTTTAATAAGTGCATTTGAAAAGTTCAGATGTGGTCTTAGGTGTAAGGGAATCCTCTGGATTCTCTACTCAGTGTTTTCTGGTCTCAGCATCAGCTCACCTCACCTTGCTTAGAAATTCTGGGGGCCAGCAGATGGTGTAGCAATTATGTACTGGACTCCCACATGGTCGACTGTGGTTCAGGTCTCAGACCCAGTGGCTTGAAACTCACATCAGGTGTGTGTGCGTATGTGCCCAAGATCCTGATAAAAGAATGGAGGAGAAGGGATTGTGGTGTGGCCATCCCCCCTAGGGGGTGATTTCTCACTTTCCTTGTACTGTCTCTGTCTCTGTCTCTCTCAGTGCACATGCCCTAAGGCAAAAACTTCTTAAAAAATAATAAAAAAGAATTCTGGGGTCCCAGAGAGACCTCCTCAATAGTCACCTTGAAGGCTGGACCAATGAATCTGTGTTTTAACAAGCTGTCCTGGTGATCCTTATGTACATTAAAGTTAGAAAGATTCTGCTCAAAAGCCAGCCGCATAGCTCAGGGGTTAAGCCCTATACATCGGGAGCCATATCCTTCTGGCTGCGATTTGATTTCCAACCCCAGTGGCAGCTGCATGTAAGTGCATGCCTCAAATCCTGATGAAATGGGAGAATAAAGGATTGTGGTGTGAACATGCCCCACATGAGAGAGGCTCTCTCTCTCTCTCTCTCTCTTTCTAGCAAGTACATGTGCCCTCTGGTAGTTAAAGATAAAAAGAGAAGTTCGGAACCAGCTGTTGGCATAATGGCTATGTCACTGGACTCCTATGTAGTTGACCATGGTTCGAGTCTCGGACCCGGTGGCTTAAAACTCATGCTGGGCGCGTGTGCATGCGTGCTCAAGATCCCGAGAGGAGAATGGAGGAGAAGGGATTGTGGCGTGGCCATCCCCCCTGGGGGGTGATTTCTTGCTTTTTGTCTGTCTGTCTCTCTCTGTCTGGTGAGCACATGCACCCTATAGCAAAAACCTCTCCACACGCACGCACACACACACACACACACACACACACACACAAAGATAAAAAGAGAAGTTCTACTTTAGATTTTTCTATATATATTTGTTCTCATTTATCATAATACTGTGTCACCTAGGCACATGTTAGTTACTTTTTTAAAAATCACATATAACACATGGAATTAATAATAATGGAAACGTAAAATAAATTAGGAACAAAGAGTGAACATGTGTTAACTGCCTTTTTTAAGAGTAGAAACTCATCTTCAAAGTAAATAATCATTCTTTTGTTTTGAAAGCTTGGTTATTTTTCATTTCACTCTCTTAAAAAATTCCGTATCTTGAGCAATCAGTGAAGACTGCGTGTTTAATGTGGATGCACTTTTGCGATAGCTGGGTCTTGAACAACCAGACTGAGAGTCTGTAATGAAAATAATCCATGCCTCAGTCACAGTCACATAATAGGATTCAATGTTTTCTTGAATGCATATTTTCACGTTCTAAGCGATATGATTTTTTTTACTGTACTTTAGCAAACATAAAATGTATAACTCTAACTGTAGACTGGCAAGGAATACACTTAAGTTTCAGATTAAATGTGGCTATCACTACCCCACAGCATGAAATGAAATCAGCGGAACCATTTGGAGGTGCCAGGAGCTGACCCACAGAGGCCTCCACACAGCCCTCTGCTCTGCCCCACTTCTCTGGCTGCCACACCCCTGCAGCTGGGTCACACCACTCAGAATTATTCTCACTGGCCCTCCCTTCAGTCAGAAGGTGAGAGTAGACAGGATTAAAACAGCCCTAATCTAATCAGGATTTGGGGGTCAGTTCATTTTTCTTGCTTTGTTTCTATCTTCCATCTTCCAACTCTAAACTCATCTCTATGCTTGTCTACTTTCTCTTAATACAATAACAGCCTGAAGCCATGACCATCCACTCTTGACTGCCCAACCCCATAGTTCTATTTCAATAGAGCTGAATTCCAGCCCCTCCCCAACTATTCTATGAGCTCCTCCCATTGGCCATAAACTAACTCTTCCCAAACTTAGGTCAAATTAAGCCACAGGATGCTCTTTGACTGTGCTTAGAGAATGTTAGCACTGCTTTTGAATTGTTTTCTCCTCCTTTTTTTCTTTTTCTTTTTTTTTGAAGTTTAGTTACTTTTTCAGAGACAGAGAGGCACCTTCAATAGGGTCTTTATACTGTGATCAAACCCAGTCTCAGCCAGCCACAATCACAGGCATGCACAAGTCTTATAGCGATAGAGAGACCTCAGGACATGAACTTGGGACCTTCCATATAGTTCAGTATCATAGAGCATTGCATTACTGCCCCACCATCATGGCTGGCATCCTCCCTTTTCCATATAACTATCTTGAGGACTTTAGGATCTCCATTGATGGTCCGTCCCACCACAATTCTCCTCTCCCCCACATCAGCAATCCATAGCCCAGTATACCTTGGACCATTCAACATGAGCACCCTTCTCCGCAAGCTTCTAAGCTCCCTGAAGAAAGACTGACACCTGCCATAGTCATTGCTGTGCCTCCCCGCCCAGCACAGTGCACACTGAACAATCAGCAGCTATTTGTCACATAAATGAAGTTTCAATTTTAGCAATTCCTGTCACCTACTTCTTTTGGGGGCTTCCTTCACAAGCTGCTCTGTTTGCACTGAACACTCCAGCATTTCCTCCCCTGACCCCCTGACGCGGCCCATCAGCCTACTTCCAGGCTCAATTTTCCTCTTGCTGAGCCCAGACCTCATCATGGGCCATTTTGGTGATATTCTAGAACATTGTCCTATGCTCGTGCTCTCCTGTGCTTCCTCAATGTGTGCCTGTGGTATCCTGCCCTGCACCTGCAGGTGGGTCAGCCACCTGTATTTTTCTACCTCTGCCTTCCTGAGCGTGACTGTGAAGTTCCATGGCTCCAATGTCATGCTGTCTACTGCTTCCCTTGTAGTAACAGTTGCTAACATTTGTTTTCCCAGGCCCAAATCCCATTCATGCCACTGTTTCTCCTACATCCATACTTAGCAGGGAGGACAAAATACATCTGATACATAGTGCTCCATTTCCAAAATTTCTCTCGCCATCCTTGAAAGTCTAACTGACCTCTCAATTCCTTCACTGCACTGTTCACACAATCTAGGATTCTATACTATCAACCCTTGCATTCTCCCCTTCCACACACATACTTGAAACTTTAATTTGTCCCTTTCTCTGAAATCATTTCTCTCCATCTATGGACAAGCTCAAATCTCTGTTTTTTTCCCCTGTGTTTTACATCCAAATCCCATTCCATCGTTCTGTCCTCTGAAAATGTCTTATGAGCACTCTATATCTATCTGTATTTTTTTCTTTAACTTTCTGGTTAGTGCTCAATATTTATCCTCTCATTCGGTGGCTATGTACCACGCCATACTACTTCCATTGCTCTCCTGAATGTCACCAATGATTTCTCTTTATTAAACTTTTTTTTAATTGTTTTGAGGTAGAATGTATACACGTGCATGTTAGAGCAAGAGAAAGAGAGATGAACACCCTAAACAGAGTCTGGTCATGTTATGATCCCCTTCCTCCAGTCCCCCCATGGGTTCTGGGCACTCATGTGCCTATCAAGCACGATTCTGGTTGACCAGGCTGGAATTTGAACCTGGGTTGCCACTGCACCATGAAGCCGGCCCACCAATAACTTCTTAGTTTCAAAGTCAAATGCCTTTTCTCAATTTTAATTTTCTTAAATTTGTTTTAGTAAAATATACTTTAGTAAAACTAAATATACTTTAGTAAAACTAAAATATACTTCTTCATGACCCTGGGATTATAGGATGTTATAATTTACTGGTTTTCTTAATTCCTCAGATCATTCCACTTTTATTGCTTTCTTTTCCTTTCTCCTAACCATAAATTATCCCCAATGATTTTCTTTAACCATCTCTTACTACACCTATAATCTTTGGTTGGAAATCTCATATCTTTTGGTTATCACCTCTCTGTAGATAATTTTCAAATCTGTATTCTCAGATCAGTTTTTTCTCTTATTGTGTAGTTTCATTTTTCCAAGTTCATATTTACCATTTTACCTGAGTATCCTAGAGCCATGTCAAATTCCACATATCACAGGGACCAGCAGTTAGTATAATGGCTATGTTGCTGGACTCCCACGTAGTCAACCGCAGTTCGAGTCCCAGATCCAGTGGCTTAAACTCACACTGGGCACATGTGTGCGCGTGCCCAAGATCCCGAGAGGAGAATGGAGGAGAAGGGATTGTGGTGTGGCCATCCCTCCTGGGGGGTGATTTCGATCTCTCTGTCTCTCTCTGTCTTTCTGGTGAGTGCATGTGCCCTATCCCCTCTTGGGCACAGCTCTGTGCTCACACTGGTATTTCCATCATCAGTCCAGCATTCCAGGGCTCATTCCGTATCTGTAATTCTCTAACAGCGAGGACCATGAGAGCCTGAATTCGACCACTACTAAACTAGGCTGCCTCTCACAAAAGATAGTTATGGTTCTTTATGCTAAAATAGCACCAGGTAGAGTATTTATCTAATTTTCTAAGTGAGATGTTGAAAAAAATCTCTGTCAGACCATATCGATTTGATTCTTGAGGTAACCTCACTGCCTGGCAGTTAAGGCAGCCAGATCTCACATAGGCAACTGCACGATTGAAGCCCCAGACCTGGCAGCTTGAGAAACACCCCTGACACATGTGCATGCATGTCTCAGACCCCAAAGTAGGTGGAAGTGAAGGATGAGGGATTGTGGCATGACCACGCCCCTTGGGGAATGCTTTCTTTTCTCCCCTTTGCTCTGTTTTTCTCTGGTGAACGCAAGTGCCCTTTAGAAAAAAAAAAAAAAAAAAAAAAAAAAACTTCTCCAAAGAAAAAGAAAAAAGAAAAAGAAAATTCCACATATCACAGAACCGGCTTCCTTCCCAAACTGTGTTGTTTTCCTAAGTCTTCTACTTTGTTAATCTTGCTATCCTGTTCTTAATAACTAAAGATAAAAATTTCAGTATCATCTTATACTCTGAGATGAGTACCAAATTCTTGTCCTTTGATAACGTCCTTTGTAAAATCTTTCAAATTCACTGCTTTCTCTTTATTCTGATGCCATTTTTTTAGTTCAATCTCTTCTGATGGAAAGGGTGATTTGCTCCTGCTTCTAGGAACATCACTTGCTTTTTTCTTTAAAGGAAAGATACCTCTTCCACTGTCTCTCTACTCATTCAGATGGATGCGACTGATTCAAGGGTAGGCATGTGAACTAAGCGTCATTAGAACACTGCAACCAACCTCAGGGTCTTTCCAATTGGCCCCTGAATGGATGTGTGAATTGCAGTGCGCCAATTAAAGCCATCAACATTCAGTTCCAGGATTTCAAACTGTAAATACTTGGAGACAAAAATTTTCATTCAGGTGTGAAACTATGTGATCCTAGAGCTGCTAGGAGCCACATTGTTGTCTGAGGTGACCCTCCATCCAAACATAACATTGATAAAGAAAAACAAAAACAAAAAAAAGAATGAATAAATAAAAATAAAATAATTATTAAAAAAAAAGAAAAAGAAAAAGAAAGCCAAGAAAAAGAGGAAAGTCAGCTCCAGCTGACCTCTTTTGAGCTGCCCAAGTCAGCCAGAATAGTGGCCAGCTCTACTCTCAGATTTTTCAGATTCATGGAATAATGAATTCTCTTTTTTTGAGTTTAAGGTAGTTTATTTGATACCTCAGAAGTCCTGAGTAATGAGCTCTCGGTTTGTATGAGATAATTCAATTCTTGGGAGAACTATTGGTTCCTGATCATCTTAATAGACTCTACAGTGCTTTGTGTACTATCTTGCAAACATTAGTTCTTCAAAAATATTTCTGAGTAAAAGAACGCATAGTAAGGGGAAGGAAACAACCTCACCGAGTACACGGACGTCATACTGAAGGGAATCTTCTCCAGCCTCATTCACAGCCACACACGTGTACCTTCCAGCATCTTCTACTTTAGCCCGAGGAATCTGCAATACTCGCCCTCCTGAAAGTAGATGCCAAAGTGTTTACCCCTCTTCCTCTTAGAGTGAACACAGGTCTTAACTAGAGATACAATGTTTTAGGTTTAATAAGATTCCCTTACATTTTCTTACAAAATTCTTCATCTAATGGTTCAGTATTAATCCCCGATACCACTTTTGTAACAATTGTGCATGCTTAAAAAGCAATCCAATATAAAATCAGATCTCCTGATAAGTTAAGAGTTCAATAACATTTTCCTATGGGGGAAATGCTTCTCTATGCACCCATAATATGCCATATATGGAGTCTTCAAAAAGTTCATGAAAAAATGCACATTACAAACAAATTATGCGTGGCTTTCAGATTTTTCTGTACTAAGATAAACTCATAATTTTATTTTCCCATGAACTTTTTAAGTACCCTTGTATAGTATGTTCTATGCAATGACTTCTTGCTTTGAGTTTTTGAACATTTAAAAGACATTTACACGGTTTGCTGCAAGTAGTCATTTGAGGAAGTGTAAAAATATTTTTAAGTGACTCATTTTCACAAATAGTTTAACAAAAGTTGCTTAACCAGATGTGAAAATCCCAGGAAGTACACATTCCCAAAAAAGTTAATGAACAAACACAATCACAGATAAGTCATCCTTGAGAAATTACTTGTCAAGAGCTGGTCACCAGCTCTTTGCTCTTTTTCACTTCCTGGTTTTTCTCCCTCCTCAGGACATTTGGCAGGTCCTTTCCATGGACTTGTCCTGAGCCTATACCTTAATACCTAATAAGAGGGCAATAAAACTTAGGTGACTTCCAGGAAGATTGTACACCTCATAGTAGTCAGTGAGTGAGCACAGACAGGGAAATTTGCCATATAGAAAGTTATAAAATAATAATGATGATAAATAAAATTGAATAATTTACATACTATTATACATACAATCTTGAAAGAATAGTTTTGAGTATATATATTTTTTCTTTTCTTTTTTTTGAGAGGTTTTTGATATAGGGCATGTGCACTCACCAGCCAGACAGAGACACAGAGATAGAAAGCGAGAAATCACCCCCCAGGGGGGGATGGCCACGCTGCAATCCCTTCTCCTCCATTCTCCTCTCGGGATCTTGGGCACGCACGCACACACACCCGGCGTGAGTTTAAGCCACTGGGTCCAGGACGCAAACCGCGGTCTACTACATGGGAGTCCAGCGACATAGCCATTACACTAACTCCTGGTCCCAGTTATGAGTATATTTTAACGTTCCATGTTGATACTACTTCAAACTTAGAGAAAGGTTGTAATCATTGAATAAAAATCTCCACCCACATGCAGTAATTATATTTCATCCCATTTGCTTTTTCTTTGTCATATGAACCATCAGAGAATAACTTGGAGACATGGAACCCTTTATCTCTAAATATTTATGAATCCATACTTCATAAAAGCAAGGATAATCCTTCTATAATCACAATGATAAATCAGTAACTATAAAAGGAATACAAAACTATTATTTACTCTATAGTCCATATTCAATGTTTTTTACAGCCATCTTTTCCCAAACTCAGATCCAATTGAGGATCACTTATTACATATACCTCTCATGTCTGTTTAGTCTTTCATCTTTTTTCTAACATCTAAAATAATTCATTTATCTCTAATTTACATACATTTATTTAATGTAGTGACCGTGACTTAAGTGTACAATTTGGTGGTTACCCCTGATATTTGAATGCTTGTTAAAATTAAATAATAGCTTTGAAAATATTATTTCCTAACAATTTAAACATCAATAAATCATGTAGTAAATAAAATATTTCAATCTAGTCATCTCTACTATGTATGATAAATGCATTTAATATGCTCTGAAAATAATGGTAATTTATAATAAGTAAATTTATGTATTAGTAATTTACTAATAAGTAAATGCATTTATAATGACAAATGGTTGGGATGATGAATATAGTAATTACCCTAATTTAGTCATTAAACATCGTATTCTTGTACTGAAAAATCACATTGTACCCCATAAATATGTAAAAGTATTACATGCAACAAAAAAAGAGAGAAATAAATGGAGGCATGAAGATGCCAGAAGACTCTCTCATGTAGATAAAGTGACCCTGTCATTGATCTAAAGAATTTATTAAAATGATCTATCCTATTGGCAAATTCTCAATCTAAACCTCTCTCAACTAAAGCTTCACAGATACCAGTGGCATTTGGCAGTCTATGTATCGGTTAAATTACATGACCACAGAGGCAGTCCCTTTAATCTGCGTGATAAACAAGAAAAAACACGTTTGCCAGCAATTCCGATATTCCGTCTGCTGGTAGCACTCATTACCTGGTAAAATCAACACTCTGTCACTGGAGGTGAGAGGACGGCCATCTTTGTACCATGTCAGGGTAGGAGGCGGGGCAGCATTTGTCTCACAGAGCAGAGAAATGGGATTGTTGATGACCACATCTTTGGCTTCACCACTCCTGCCAGTATCCAGCATGTTTCCTATTTCCCAGAGTTTCTGAAAACTTGGAGGAACTATAGAGGAAAAGCATTAAATGCCAGTGTCAATGCAGTAAACAAAGATCCTGGCTTCTTTTCCACAAGACTGATTTGTAAATGTGATAAATTAGACCATGTGAAAATACTTTCAAGTACTTAGACACCTACCAACTCTACACTTAGCCAAAAACTGTAGCAGAGAGAAATTGGAGCTGGTTCTCAGGAGGAAGAACAAGAGGCATGGGGATACGAGTGCTGTGTTCATGCTTTGCTCTCCCTGTCAGAGGGCTCTGGTGCTTAACCAAGAATGAAGCCAACTGTCAGGAGGGAGTATGCCTAAGGAATGTGATCATAGCAAGAACAATTAATTTTGAGGAACCATTAAAAAAATACTGACTCAATTAAGAGCTGTTTCCAATGATTTATCTTATTAAGAAGACTAAAGAAGTTATGCAATCAGGATTAAGAACTCCATTAACAAAAATAATAGGACATTCCCATACTTTTCTGGGGACAAATATGAACTTTCCAGAAGTCAAGCTGCCTGTAAGCATTCAAACAGTGCATCACTTTTGACTGAAAATTTCCACTATTTTGAAGCAATTTTAGAAAAATTAAAAATGCACAATGGTTTTTATGTAAAAAGATGTTCAGTGTTGCATTATTTAGGAGTGCTGAAAGCTTGGGAACAACCCAGATACTCAATGATAAGAATCTGGTTAAATAAATATTTGGACAGTCAACTGATGAATGAGATATAATTATTAAAAATCATGGTGAGGGACCAGCAGTTGGCATAATGGCTATGTCACTGGACTCCCACGTAGTCGACCGTGGTTCAAGTCCTGGACCCAGTGGCTTAAACTCACTCTGGGCGCGTATGCGTGCGTGCCCAAGATCCCGAGAGGAGAATGGGGAAGGGATTGCGGCGTGGCCATCCCCCCTGGGGGCGGGGGGTGATTTCTCGCTTTCTGTCTTTCTGGCGAGCGCCTGCACCCTATAGCAAAAACCTCTCTCAAAAAGAAAAAAAAAAAATCATGATGAAAGGGCCAGTGCAGTGGTTAAGGCACTGTTTCTACATGGGCAATAGCAGTTTGAGTGTCAACTCAGCAGCTTGATAATCACTTTGGGTGCGTATGCATATGTTCCCGAAATCCCAGGAGGAGAATTAAGAAGGTATTGCAGCTTGGACATCCCTTGGGAGGTGATTTTTCACTTTCCCTCTCTCTGTCTCCCTTTGTCTCTCTCCAGTGAGTGTATGTACAGTATGAAAAAAGAAAAGTAAAAAACTGAAAACAACAGCCACAAAAATGTTGAAAAATTAGTAACCTCAAGAATAACAATATTGGGCCAGAACAGCCCTTCTTCAAGAGACAGACAGCTCCATGGCTCCTGTGATCTATGACAAAGATGGTTAGACAGAATCTAAGGAGGCACATGAATGTGCTCTAAAGATGGTGAGCAACTTATGTAATAAGGCCTCTTGATAAAGATTTGGCAAAATAATGAATAAGCTATAGTATTAAAAGCAATAGCAGAGAACAGGCCTCAAGAGACAGACAGCTCCATGGCTCCTGTGATCTAGCCATTTGGGGAGAAAGGAAGATGTCCCACTGATAACTGGGCCTCCAGCATCCAAAACTCGTGTGATTGAACTTCCAAGTTTTGGAAGAAACCGATCATCCACCAGATGACTAGAAATCGCTGCAGGACCACAAGAAATTTGGGGAAGCAGGAAAATACCTCTTTCACAAGGGAAACAGATAGCTGCTCTTCATCCACACAGAGTTCCATGGAAATCATGGAAATGTCTGATAAAGAATTCAGAACGTTCATAATGGCAAAGCTAACAGAGATGGAAGAGAAGAGAGACAAGGAACTGCTGAAGAAGAAGGAGAAAGGAGTTGAAGAGTTCCAGGAGGTGAGGAAATTCATGCAAGATCTAAACGAGGAATTTCACACTTTACAAAAGAATCAGATGGAACTGTTAGAGATGAAGGCTATAATACAAGAAGTCAAAATCTCCCTTGAAAGTATTAAAAGCAGACTAGATCATACAGAAAATAGAATCTCTAATGTAGAAGAGAAAATGGTTGGCCTAGAAAAATCCACCGCGAAGACTGAGAAAATGGCCCAAAAATTTGAGAATAATATGCGAGAAGTACTAGATACCATCAAACGTCCAAACATCCGGATAATAGGCATCCCAGAAGGTGAAGAGACTCATAAGGGCATTGATAATCTATTCCATGAAATCTTACAAGAAAATTTTCCAAACCTGGAGAGGCACTCAAAGATTCAGTCCCAAGAAATACAGAGGACCCCAAATAGAATCAACCCAAGAAGATCTTCTCCAAGACACATTATAGCCAGATTGACCAAAACCACAGACAAAGACAAGATACTAAGACTGGCAAGAGAAAAAAGGCAAGTTACCTACAAAGGGTATCCCATCAGACTAACGGCAGACCTCTCATCGGAAACAATGAGAGCGAGGAGAGAATGGGAAAATGTATTCAAAGTATTAAGGGAAAAGCAATTTCAACCGAGAATTCTGTACCCAGCAAGGTTATCGTTCATTTGGGAAGAAAAGACACGAACTTTCCCAGATAAACAAAACCTGAAAGAATTTACCAGCACCAGACCGGATCTCCAAGAAGTTCTTAAGGGAGTGCTATGTCAGTAAAATTAAATGCAGACACACAGAAATAAGAGTTCAGAAACTAAGAAAATGGGCAACTTAATTGTAGGGCCAAAAGCTGGAGTTGAGTATTACATCCCAGATTTCAATCTGGAACATCGAACCTCAACAGATACAGAAGAAAGATTAAGTACATGAGACTGAACTGATGAAACAGTATTCTACGACTTGACTAAAATATTGCTGCTTTTCTTCTAAGCTTTGTTGTCTGGTTTTAAGGACTTTTGTCCTGTCTTCAGCTATCAATAGATTCATGTTCCGACTATTTGAACAGAATACTAACCTGTTTCTAGGCTTTAAGTTTCAAAGAAATATCCTTACCAGTTCAAAACTGCTTTTCTTGAAACCATCGGCTGATCTTGCTATTGAAAGTAGTTAGATTACTTATGATATTGTGTGACCAACGAAATGTTGGGGGAAAAGGGATTGAAGACAACTGTAGACAGCAGAGATAGTGTAATAAGAGAGTGGAATAGGGCAGAGGGCTAGACATGGGGTAAAAAAACATATATATGAAAGTAGAAATGGAATATTATGGATGATAACATGCATTATTAAGCCACTATATAGTATATTCTAGATGGGAAACCACATTTAGAATGTTGTGATGATGCTCAGGGAATGAATGTAAATTAATAAAAAAAAAATTTTCAGAAGAAAAAAAAAAAGGCATTAGAAATACCTATTTGATGACTGCAGTTAAGCTATATAGCCCTAGTTAGGTGCTACTTTACAGTATGTTCATTCTATTCACTGAGGTTTATGCCTAAAGTCAGTCTTGTGTTCATGGATATGTACATATCAGCTGTGCTTGCTATTGAAAATATTTAGATTTATTAAGATATTTAGTGAAACAATAAAATGGGGGAGGCATAGAAAGCAACAATAGATACCAGACACAGTGTGGGAGGAGGGTGGGAGATGGCAGAGGGTGAGATAGGGAATCAAGGATGGGAAAAAAGGCAAAATATACAGAAAACAAGAAATGGAAAATGATTTGTTGACAATAACACATATGTTGATGTGCTTGATTGAGCCAATATACAGTGTATTCTCGATGGAAAAAATCTCATTTTGTATGCTATAATGATGTACAGTGAATGAATGTAAATAAATAAAGAAAAAAAAAAAAGAATAACAATATTGGGAACCAGCAGTTAGCGTAATGGCTATGTCACTGGACTCCCACGTAGTTGACCGTGGTTCGTGTCCTGGACCCGGTGGCTTAAAACTCACGCCGGGCACGTGTGCGTGCGTGCCCAAAATCCCGAGAGGAGAATGGAGGAGAAGGGATTGCGGCGTGACCATCCCCCCTGGGGGATGATTTCTTGCTTTCTGTCTCTATGTCTAAAAAAAAAAAAAAGAATAACAATATTAACAAACAAAGCTAAAAACTTTGTTTGTTTTATCTCATTTAGTATTTTCTACAATTTTAGAAGGCATTGTTTTCAAAAGTAAGGAAACAGAGGCTTAAAATATTTAGGTAACTTCCCAACCCACAAAGCTCATAGGAGTCATAATCCTCATTCGATTCCAAGTCTGACTACTCCAATTTTTTTTTTCAGTACTTTACCACTTTTTCCACCTTTCATATAAATGTTCTTTTAAAAACTTCATGATATATGGCCCAGCTGTTGTGGTGAAGCAGTAATGCTGGCACCCCGAAGTGCTAGAAGCCATATGGTGGCTGCGGTTTTGGTTCCAGGTCAGCCTGAAAAACAATGCTGGGTGTACGCACAGGCATGCAGAATCCTGAGGTGCTGGAGGGCTGGGGCAGGGGCTGTGGTGTGAAGAGATGTTACTAAAAGTGTTTTTTCTCTCTCTTTTTCTTTCTATCTCTTAAGTAATTGCTTTCTACCATAAAAAAGTAACCAACCAACCAAAACAAAACATTTCATGTGCAAGAGTTTTCTACCATAAAAAAATAAACAAAACAAAACAAGACCAGCTCCATAGATCAAAAGTGAAGTGCTGCCCGGAGGAAGCTGGATCACAGATGGCTGACTTGACCTTAGTGGTTTGAAAACACAAGAGGTACTAGACCATGCCCATGGGATAGAGAACTACAAAAAACTCCGTGTGTGTGTGTGGGGGGGAAGTAGTTCTCTCTCTCTCTGTCTCTATCTCTGTCTCTGTCTCTATCTCTATCTCATGCATAGGCATGCACCCTCTGGAATAAAGGAAACACAAAAACAAACAACTTCATTATATAATCTTCGGGGAATGCTAAGGTAATTGGCATTCTCAATTTTGTATGTGAAGTACACATTTAAAAATATCAGAAGGAAATGTTGAAATATCAGAGGTAATCCTGAATGATGGGATTCGCTCCTTCTTTAATTTCTCAAGTTCATATTTTCAGTAATGAATTTGTTACTGTCAACAGAAAAATAAACACCATTCAAAATAAATCTCTTTCCCATTACTTTTGACAGGTTATGCAAATTAAATCATATACAATAAGGATCCTAGTACATTACCTTGTATATTCACGTCAAAATCCAACTCATCTTCACCGACAAGGTTAGATGCCACACAAGTGTATCGTCCCGTGTCTGATATCTGAGTCTCCTTTATCTGGAGTGTGCGTCCATTCGCAGCAATATTAACATGATCGTCTGATTTAAGGGGCTGTAATGCAATTATCATCATGTTAGCATGAGGTGCTTTAATAAATCCTCTAAGTGACAACTGTGCAGTTGATGGTTTTTATGAATTTTAAATAAATGAAAATAAAATTGTATGTGAAACATTCAAAACAACAATAATTGGATTAATTTGCTTACAATAAATGGATTATTTTAGAGTAATCAAGTTTTTAGTTATTGAAAATTATAGCTGGGGAACCAGCAGTTGGCGTAATGGCTGTGTCGCTAGACTCCCATGTAATCCACCACGGTTCAAGTCCTGGACTCGGTTGCTTAAACTCACGCTGGACGAGTGTGCATGCGTGCCCAACATCCCGAAAGGAGAATGGAGGAGAAGGGATTGTGGTATGGCCATCCCCCCTTGGGGGGTGATTTCTCGCTTTCTGTCTCTCTGTCTCTCTTTGTCTTTCTGGTGAGTGCATGCGCCCTATAACAGAAAAACCTCTCCAAAAAAAGAAAAAGAAAAAAATATATAGCTGGTGTAGTTATATAGGTACCATGTATTTGTGAGTGATACATGTGTACATTTTTTATGATATATGTTATTAGGTACTATGTCCTTCCATATGTTGGAGAAATTTTTTTTCAGTTCTTCTCAGATTCAAAATGCATGTCTTTTATGATAATTTTATAGAAAATGCTAGAATTTTTTTAATTGACAGCATTACCATAATTTGATTTGATCTAAAATTAGTATTATTCATTCAGAAACACAATATTTCATAAATAAAAAATTGTAATGTAGAGATATTTATATTATTCTTTATTGAAATTATTATTTCACTTAATAGTCTTTCAGATTATTCATAATACGATGTTCTACTGATAACACTATCTATACTTAACACAATCTCTTATTAATTTTTTTGGAGAGGTTTTTGCTATAGGGCGCATATGCTCACCAGAAAGACAGAGACATAGAGAGAAGGAAAGCTAGAAATCACCCCTCAGGGGGGATGGCCATGCCACAATTCCTTCTCCTCTATTCTCCTCTCGGGATCTTGAGCACACATGCACACATGCCTGGTGTGAGTTTAAGCCGCCAGGTCTAGGCGGGACTCGAACCGTGATCGACTACATGGGAGTCCAGCGACGTAACCATTATACCATCTGCTGATCCCAACAGAATTTCATTTTATAACCACTTTTATTTTTACTAAATTCTCCCTCGTTCCTTGATATTAGCTCCTGGATCACTGTTATTCCTTCTAAAGATGCTTTTCTCATAATTCTTGGAGATTTCAATACCCACATGGACAGTTATCCAGTTACTCAGTGTTTTCTGAGCTCCTTTACCGTTTCCCTTTCTCAAACACTAAGTCAGAGTCATACCTGGGTATTATAATTCCTAAAAATTGCACCCCTTTCTAATCTGTTTCAAGCTCTCCCTCTGTGACTACTATCTTCTAACCTTGTAACTGATTTGTCTTATATCTAAATTCTAATTTCGTCTTGACCCCAGAGAGGGACCTACAGTTCATTGACTTTGCAATCTTTTCGCTGCCTCTCATTCTCCTACTGACCTCTGCTCCCTCATTACCCGGAGCAGGTCTACCATGAGAGTTGCTTCTTGTATATATACCCTCAACTCCCTTGCACTCACTCCCTTTATTTTAGTCCTCTGATAAAACTCTAACCCTGTTTAAAACCGTCTCTGCCCATTTTGAAAATCCCCTGGTCTACTCATGGACACTGATAGCCTTTCCCATACACTATCATCCGTTTCTTTCTTTCCATGGGACAATTTAAATCTAAAAGCAAACTAAAACAAACCTCTCACTGCATCCCACTTCCACCTTTTCTACTGCCTGGTGCAGCCAAATTATTTTAAGTTGTTTTCTACACTTTCTAGCTCCAATTTATTTCCTTCTTTCTTTCCTTGCATCTGCTCCAATCAGATTTTTGCCATCTCTACTTGACAAAAAAGACATTGTCAATGTCACCAAAGACATTGCTAAATTTATGGTCAAGACTGTCTTTATTTTACCTGATCACTGGTATTGGCAAAGTTTAACCTGATTTTGAAACAAATTTCCTCTCTCACCTTTTGAAACATGCATATCCTACTCCCCGATAGGAGCACCCCAGAGCTTCATCCTGTACCTCTTCTCCTTCTAGTTAATCTCATTTTCCTAATGCAAAATGTTGGGACAACCTCTTTCCTTCACACTCCACGTCCTTCTACCGTCTTGGTCTAAGCAACTACTCACCATCTCTCTTTGGAGCCACTGCAAAAACCTCATAGCTGGACCCTCTCCTTCTTCCTTAAGCACAAAAGCCAGTGAAATTCTTTTAAAACTTCAAGTCAGATATTGTATCATTTTGGTGTTCAGGATTTTCTACTTGGCTTCCCATGAAGAATAAAGCCAACTGACCTACAAGGCATGTGATCTGGCCCTCCCCTCCTTCTCTGCTCATATCCCATTGAAAATTGCCTCAGGGCTTTTACCCTTGCTATGCGGTCTACTTCAGACTAATCTTCCCTCTGATATCTTATGTCTGCTTTTTTCACTTCCTTTGTTCCTGCTCTATCACAGAGGTCTTCTCTATTCAAATAAGAGATCACACTTCCCTCAGTTGGTTGCCTTTCTCTTAATTGCATTTTCTGCATGACACCCACCCATCTGATATAGTATATGTCTTGCTGGTTTGTTTGTTTGTTTTGTTTTGTCTTCCAAACATTTTTTCTTCTTCTTTTTTTTCTTTTGAGAGGTTTTTGCTACAGGGTGCATGTGCTCGCCAGAGAGACAGAGAGATAGAGAGACAGTAAGCAAGAAATCACACACACGTGCTTTCTATCTCTTTGTCTCTCTTGTCTGTCTGGCGAGCGCACGCGCCCTATAGCGCCAGGGGGGATGGTCACGCCACAATCCCTTCTCCTCCATTCTCCTCTCGGGATCTTGGGCATGCATGCACACGCGCCTGGCATGAGTTCTAAGTCACCGGATCCAGGACGCAAACCGCGGTCGACTACATGGGAATCCAGCGACATAGCCATTCCTCTAACTGCTGGTTCCCTGGAAAATATTTTTTTGATTCATATTCTAGGAGACTGAAATCTAAAAAGTTTAGCAGTAACACATCATAACTGGATCAGTTTCAGAGTCTGGATTTGAAACTGTAATTTTAACTATTCATTATAAATTTTTGTTTTTTGAGAGGTTTTTGTTTGTTTGTTTGGTTTTTGGTTTGTTTTTTTTTTTTTTTTTTTTTTTTTTTTTTCTTTTGTGGACAGAGAGAGACAGAAAGCAAGAAATCACCCCCCAGGGGGGATGGCCATGACGCAATCCCTTCTCCTCCATTCTCTCGAGATCTTGGGCACACACGCACACGCACCCGGCATGAGTTTTAAGCCACCAGGTCCGGGACGCGAACCGTGGTCGACTACATGGGAGTCCAGTGACATAGCCATTACGCTAACTGCTGGTCCCCATAATAACATTTTTAAAAATTTGCCTCATCCTGGTTCAATTCTAGTCTTTATCCAGGTTATTAAGCGTATGTTGTAACTATGAGGTATGAAAATCCTTTAGAGAACATTGAAAATGAAATAATATACAATTTCAAAGGAGGAAGGAATTATTTGTTTCCAAGTAAATTCGTACAGAATTGCTATTGTACCACGAGATGTGCTTGTAGTCAGAAAAGTAAGTATAAACAGAATATGGTGAGAGCTCCATAATTTTCCTTATGCAATGGCTCCCAGATGAAACTTGCTTATTTTATAAGAATTTTTTTTCCTAGCTGCCAGAACTGCAAAATCCATCTGGGACCTGAAAAATAATCAAGCTATCTTTTTCCTGCCTCTTAAATCATGACTATGACCTGCACTCCTACAACTGGCATTTAACTGACCATGTGGCTGATCATGTGTAAAACAGGACAAACAGCAGCCTAGTCATTTCACATCTGTAATAAGTACAGTGTTAACAGCAGCTAAAACATTTCTTTTGGTTTAAGAATGCCAGCACATGTCTTTAAAACATGCATGCAAGGATACAAGTTGAATACAAAATAAGGGTGTGTGGTCTGTAATTCAGATCACAGAACTGAAGGATCTGCCTTTCATGTAAAGTTTCTCAGTTAACTCCATTGGGTACTTCATCATCTCTTTTAGATTGTTTTATCTTGGAATATGAAAACTTGTGATCATTTGTAAAACAGTTAAGGATGTTTAAAGAAAGTTCTGCATCCATTTAGTACCCATGCTATACCAATCATTCTAATCTGGTCTAGCACCACTTATGTGTTTTTTTTCTCTACAAAGTTTACTTAATCTGTAAAATCATAAAACACAAAAGTTTTTCACCTAACTTCCCCGATGGGAGGGCTGCCAGATTTTCACAGACAATGGCTAATGTACATGAAAGCAATCCTACACACTTTACAGCAATGGACTAACAGTAAAATTGCTGACCATGGGGCCAGGTTTTGTTTTCTTCATTGTTGTTGCTTTATTTGTTTGCTTTTTTTTTTAGATTCTAGAAGAATGAGATTTGCTGGTTTTAAGGCCCCATTGGTTCTTTGAGTCACTTATGCCTGTGAATTTTTTTCCTTCTCTCTTTCTTTCTTTTTTAAATTGATCATTTTACTCTTTTTTTTTTTTTTAAAGAGGTTTTTGCTATTGGGTGCACGCGCTCACCAGAAAGACAGAGAGAGACAGACAGAAAGCAAGAAATCACCCCCCAGGGTGGATGGCCACACTGCAATCCCTTCTCTTCTTGGGATCTTGGACATGAAAGCACATGCACCTGGCATGAGTTTAAGCCACTGGGTCTGCGACTCGAACCACAGTCCAGCAATGTTGCCATTACGCCAACTGCTGGTCCCCCACTTCACTCTTTAAGAACCCATCAACAAATGAGAAAAGTTTGACTGGCCTGTCCATCCTTGTACCAGCTGAGGGAGGCAGAAGGAATGGCATAAGCTTCGCATTCCAAGGTCAGGGTGTGGTTCACTTTAATCTTCACTTCTTTAGGAGAAAGACCTGGCCCCAGAAGGTCCCCTTTACTGATTATGGGTGGAACTGCATGAAAAGAATATTAAAGAATTAAATATGTGCTCTTCTAAATTCAAGGAATAGCATAGAAATCACAGTGAGGACCATTTAACAAGAAAACAAGGAAATAACAGAGGCATTTTCCATCTTGTTAGAAATGTAAGTAAATTGGCATCTTATGAAACACTTAGAGTTCAGAAGGTGAAGAAAAGTGTCTTTCTCTCTTCATCACTCTAATACTGCCAATGAGGCCAAAGGCCTTCAAACAGAATAGAGGATTTCACTTGTCCTAGGTCCACATGTGCAGTCTGAGCATGACCCATAACATGAATTCTATTAGCCATCCATGATAGTAAGTCAAAGAGCAAAAGACAATTAGAAAGATATTCTTTTATAAAAAGAGAATTCCTGAAATGGGAGTCCAATTAGAGGCAGTACAATGTTTTCCATTTACTTATAAGTCAATGCATATGAAAATAGCCCAAAGAACTGATGCTCTCGTTTGTGCTGTAGATGAAAGCATATGCATTTGAACAACAGTTGTGTGATTGTAAGCACCATAACTCTGCCCAGAGAGTAATTCAGAAGGAAAATGACAGAATCCTAATGAAGTGTCACTGAGGAGGTCTCCAACAAGAGGGTATGAGCAGATGGAGCAAGAGTCTCACATCTTTAAACAATTGAGATTATGGGCACAGTGCTTAATTCAACTTCCATCCTCAACTAAGCCTGCTGCATAAATAGGAGTCTTTAATGATGAGTATAAAGAATTATGAATCGACAATAAAAAACAGGATAGAAAAAGTTAGAAATTTGGAAAGATATGTCATAGTGTTCTTCCAGAACTTACTGTAGACCTTCACTTCATAGTGCTTTATCATCTCCCCAGCCTCATTGGTGGCTACACAGGCGTATCGGCCAGCGTTGTCCTCCTGAGCATTGAGGATCTGCAGAGTCCTGCCTCCTAAAAAGTCATGGAACAGCAGAGATTCTGAAATCTGAAATCACAGTGGCAGCAAAGCGTACACAAGCTTCCAGGGATTTAGTTCTTATTGTGAATCTTTTGTTTTATACATGCCAATTCCATAAATGATATTTGATATAAGACACAATACAAGACAGTCACTGCATGGTAGGAGAGGACAATCCTGAGGTTCCCAGTGGTCCTCGGTGGTCTCTCCTGGCCATTTTGACCCTCCCATGCCTTTGCACACTACCCCAGCTAAGGTCCTTCTTTATTCTCTTCATACATAGCTTTGTGCCTTAATCAACTTCTTTTCATCTACCTGGCCCATCAGTATAGATTAACTGTGCCAATATAGTCTGAACTATGGTATCTTTTTCCTTAAAAAAAAAAAAAAATCTTTAATGGTATCAACTGACTGAAGGATAAAGACAAAGCTCTTTACCCATGGCATTCAGAACATGACTCAACTTTAACTTTCTGTAACTGACTGTATCGCCTTCTGGGACCCACCAACACCCATCCACATAGAGTCTCCACGCAAACGGGGCATGAGATGGCTACTGATTATTACTTGCATATGGTAAGGCTGTTCTCATGTGGTACTTTCCCACACTAGTCACCCTGATGGATCTGAAACCTTGCCTAACTCATTTCCAACTGACTAAATTCTAGAACTTTCTTTAAGGTCTGGTCCAAGTTCTGATTAAGCACAAAGCTTTTTCTGACCACTTCAATTCACAGTGGCCATTTCTTCTTTTAAGATTCTTCTAAAATTTGTCACCGCCCCATTTATCATAACTCCTGAGTATTTATAATCCATAATTACTCACAGATTCAAGCTGTTAATGAACTTCTCATGCAAATTATCTCTCCTTCATCTAAGACTGTACATTTCTAAAAGCCAGTGATTGTATCTTTTAATCCTATTTTCATATACATAGACAATTGTTAAAGAAGAATAAATAAACTCAATCTAAATATTAACTTTCCTCCAATTCAACAAGAATGAATTTTGATCCTTTTTGACATTCCACATTATATTATATTTCAGCAATTAATTACATTATGACATTTATTTATTTAGCTTTTTATTTAGATATTTTTCTGATCTTTAGAAAAGTAATTTCGCGTACTTTCAGAATATAAGAAGTATGTAAAAAATATAAATTAAAATGTCAATAGGATATAATACAACCAACAACATAGGTATTTTTTATAAGAAACACCCAATGTCCTGCTTTTCAACAATAGTTGATGAACCAGATGCACCTTGGGCATATGCATAAAATGATCACCTGGAAGAATACGAATATTTCTATTCGATTCTAAAGGAGCGCCATCCTTAAACCAGGTGATCGTAGCTGGAGGATACGAGTAAGCTTCACAGACCAAAGACGTGGGGCTGTTAAGGGTAACAGTGACATCTTCAGGGCTGCCATCGCTATCGACACCAGCAATTGTGGGAGATACTGAAAAAGATTAAAAATTTGGCTGAAGAAATATACTTAGAAATTCCTCTGTTTGAGCACTTCTAAATTTTCATCGTACTGTTTGTATCCCTTCATTTGCTAACAGTTTTTGAGTTGTTGGAAAAGTCATGGCGCATTTTTGCATAAAGAAACAGAAAAAAAAATATCATGACTTTTCGTCTATCCAATGCAAAAGACAGTTGATTATTGCTCTTGTTTTATGCAAAAGCAGTGAAAGCTCTCAAAAATCTCGCAGGGTAATGAAAGAGGTAACACATAAAAAAGGGTTCACAGAGTCATGGAGCAGGACGGTAAGTAGGCATGCTGATGCAAACTGCGCAGAGGCACAGTGTTCAGCCCCATCTGAGCTGTGGGGTGTGAAGAGTATCATTAGAGAAGCACTCCCAAGAGAAAAGGTTCTAAAGTGAGCCTGAAAGGACGAGTGATAGTGGGTAAAAGGAGGGGACTAGTAAAAAGAGGGAGCTTATTGGGAGCAAAGAGTAGTAAACAGTGAGGGATAAGCAGGGAATGCATAAAAGATGGATTTGCGCAGGTCAGTATTGCGGGTGAGGATAACAGAAACAGGTATGTTTGTTTCATAAGAGTTAATGAGTAACTTGGACCAGCAGTTGGCGTAATGGCTATGTCGCTAGACTCCCATGTAGTCGACCACGGTTTGAGTCCCAGACCCGGTGGCTTAAACTCATGCCAGGCATGTGTGCATGTGTGCCCCAAGATCCCAAGAGGAGAATGGAGGAGAAGGGATTGCGGTGTGGCCATCCCCCCTGGGGGGTGATTTCTTGCTTTCTGTCTCTCTGTCTCTGTTTTTCTGGCGAGCACACATGCCCTATAGCAAAAACCTCTTAAAAAAAAAGAGTTAATGAGGGACTGAACTAGAGCACTAAAGGGAAGTCAAAGGAGAGAACAACTAAAGAAAGACCAGGACAGCCGCTGGCAGGACTTGATGTCTTTCTTGGGCATCTGGTTAAACTGTGAGGCAGAAACACAAATAGAAAATAGAGCAAGAGTTGCTCATTTAGAAGGGGAAGATGGTTTGTTCATTTTGAACATCTTGAATTTTAAGTCTATGAATTCTAGATAGAAATGTCCAACAAGCAATTCTACATAGAAATTTGAACCTTGCAAGAGAGAACTGGGTTAGAAGTAAGGATTTTACAAGCCACCAGATTATAGGAAAAGATAACATCTGGGAGTGATTGTGTTACTTGAAGAGAATGCATAGGGCGACAGGAGCAGGGAAGGAAGGGCAGGACACTGGGGGTCCCAGTATTTACTACACAGGTTAAGTAAGAGTACATAAAGGAGAGAAAAAGGGAGCAATGCAAGTGGGCAAGGCAAGTGAGGGAAGGCAATCCAGGAGAAAGAGCAATAATGCAACAAGGGTTTAAGATCAGGACTTCAAAAGTGGGGGTAAAGAGAAGCACCGTACAACAAGCTGGGGGCAAATAAAGGAAGTGGGAATGCTGTTTCCTCTCTCCTTGCAGGTGCCTGCCTCCACCTTTCAGAGTGCGCCTTAAAGTGGATATAGTCTTTGTGCTTGGGCCCAGGGCATGTGAAAGCTCTAAATAAAGGCATAATCTACTGTTGGCCAATATGAACTGTATTGGACCCAGTTGTCTGACTGGGTCCGACAGAAACTAGCAGTAACTTGAGCGTTAGCCAGAGAAGGCCAGAAGAGGCTTGTTTAGAGCTTCGAGGTGCTCCACGACCGAAGCACTCAGTTTTGCCCCTGCCGCCCCCATGAAAGAATGAGCACAGAATGGCTCGGGGCAGCAGTGTTCTCCAGCAGAGATGCCAGGCCCACCTGACCTCTGCTTTTCTCTGTTCTGTCCTTCCTCAATCCACAGCTCTTCCCCTCAGAGCACTTATCTCTTCATCCTCGGGCTGGGGTACACCTGTGCTTCTCATAGTCATGCTGCTTGTAGCACCAGAGGCTGACCTGAGGCTGGGCTCTGCCTTTGGACTTTCTAGCCACTAGAAAGGTAAGCTAAACCTCCATTCTTTTTTTATTTTTGTTTACTATAGGGCATTTGTGAGAGAGAGAGAGAGAGAGAGAGAGAGAGAGAGAGAGATCACCCCCGGGAGGATGACCATATTGCAATTACTTCCCCTCTATCCTCCTCTTGGGATTCTGGACACACACACACACACACACACACACACACACACACACACATTTATTCCGCGTGGGTCCAGGACTGGAACTGCACAGTCAGTCATGAGGGATTTAGCCACCTTAACCTCCACACCAACTGCTGGCCCCACTTTCATTCTTTATAAATTACCCAGTCTTAAGTATTTCTGTTTAGCAATACAATAATGGACTAACATAATGTATAATAAATAAATTTCTAAATTAACTAATTAAGAAAAAATGTGGTCGGACACAAGCAATAGGTCTCTTTACATAATGAAATTCTAGGATAGAAACATTAAGTAAAGGGAAAAAAGAAGAGAGAATTGAGCCTTTACTTATGTCTGATTCTTTTAAGATTTGAAGCAGAGCTTGTACCTACCATACACATTAAGACTGAAACTTTTGCTCTTGTCACCAGCTATATTAGAAGCTAGACATGTATATCTTCCAGTGTGTGACACCTGGGCATTGGTGATCTGAAGAAAACGGCCGCCAGATGTAATGTGATGGGCTTCATCTTCTTGGAGGAGCTGCCCATCTTTGTGCCACGTGATTTCTGGCACTGGATTTCCTGTAAGAAAAAAGCCATTTCTGAGAATTGGCTAATAAATCAGGTCTACAACAGATAAACACTGAAAAGGCATTTTCACTTATTTGTCTTTTAACACATTACACTTCCAAATTAATGCAATAACCATTAATTTTTAAATAAATTTGCAGGGCCAGTAGGAGGCGTAGTGATTGGGTCACTGGACTCCCATATGGCTGTCCATGGTTCACGTCCTGGATCTGGCGGCTTGCTTTCTCACTTTCCCTCTTTCTCTCTCTGGTGAGAATAAGTAATAATAATAATAATAATAATAATAAATACATAATTCTTAAAATAAATATGCAAACCAATCTATTTTGTAGTAATGACTGTACTATAACTGTAAACATAAACATAAATGAATCATTTTCAAATGTAGATTAGCTTTCATCAACAAGTCACATTATTCTAAGTTGACCTTTGTGTTTAAATTTCTATCATACTTTAGACTATTCAAATAGAGTATTGGGTCATTGGAAAAACCATGACACATTTTTGCATTAAAAAAATAGAAAAATAGGTCACGGTTTTTCCAATGACCTATATTCATAGTAAAATAAGCTTTAAAAAAAGTGAAATGTGGACTTTTACTAAAATTATTACTCAGGAATTCCTTTTAATTTATATTAAATTTTTAATGAAGAGTTTATATTTTTGAGAAAAAGCTGTAAAAAAAGCAAAACCTCTCATTAACTTGACAAGCAATTATCTTGAGTTTATATCAGGATTCTGACATAGATAGATAGGTAAATAGATTAAAATATGAAACAAGAATTATTCCTTTAATGTTTGAAGACTATGGGGAAAAGAATTTTTTTACTTATTTTATAATAGAACATTTATTAAATATTGAGCTTCAAATTTGTTCTGAAATTTTGAAAGTTTATTTCTTTCATGAATGAGAGAGACAAAAAGAGAGAGGGACAGGTAGCCCCAGAGAGTGTTCATACCGTGGTCATCCCCTGTCACAGTCAGTCAGATCACAGGCACATGTATACATTCCTGGCGTGTATAGGGAGGCCTTGGGACACAAACCTGGGACCTCCCATGTGGTTCCAGCTTCACAGAGTTGCATTACTGCTTTGCTATGAACTATATCTGTTTTGAAATTTTAAAATCACAAAAGCAAGTCACGGCTTAGCCACTGTGGTGCAGTGGTGAGGCAAGTACCCTTCAAGGCTGGAAACACATGGTGACTGCAGGTTTAGATTCCTGGGCCAGCTGAAAAACACACCAGGTCCTCACACTGGTGCCCAGGAGTCTGAGATGCTGAAGGGCTGGTGAAATGAGGGAATGTTGCCTTGTGAGATCGTTCTGGAAGTGCTTCTCTCTCACTCTCTCTCTCTCTCCACCTTTCACCATCCCTGTTCCTGGCCCATGCATGCACACTATCATAATTTTTTAAAAAGAAAAAAAAAAAGAGCAAGTTATTTTAGGAAAGATGGCTAGTATGATGTAGCATTAAGTCAAAAAGCTTGAGGGGAAAATGCTACACAATTTAAGCAACTGTTCTCTATGCAACCATTGTCAATTACTACTGTGTATCTAGAAAAAAAATTAACAGGTTAAGTAATAGTATGTGTTACACTCTGTATTTGTCATTCTTGATGTAGACATTGTTTGCACATATTCATTACTCACATAAGGCATCTACAAAGGTTTGAATGTGTCCCCTGCAATTCATGGCTTGAAATCTGGTTATGATGGGATTAGGAGAAAACTTAATCTGACTATGGTATTGAAAAGTCAGGCTCTTGGGAAGAGATTAGTATCAGATAAAGGAAGTAGGATTGGGCCCTCAGGATTGAATCCTAGTGGGTTTAAAGGAGAAGAAATGAGAGACACACATATACTTGCTTGCCCTTACCTATGCCACCTCGGGACCCTGCAGAACCCCTATAGCAAGAAGACCTTCCCCAGATGTGACCCGTAGACTGTAGATCTCCGAATCACAAGCTGAGTAACTTCTATTCATACAAATCACCCAATTTTAGGCATTCTTTTTTTTAAAAAAAGAATTATTCTATTTATCTTTATATATTTTAATTTGACCAGAGAGGGACAGCAAGAGAGAAAGCAAGAAGTCAGGTTCGGGACTTGCACTTTGGCTGGCCATGTGGGAGTCCAACACTCTTAGCCACCACACCACTTGCCAGCCCCTGATATTCAGTTATTAAGCAACAGAGAACAGAGTAAGACAGCATGTGGACAATGAAACAAGCGCCTCAAATCTTCCTTGAAACACTGGCTTTCCATAAAATGTCATAGGCTATGCTCTTTGTTTCTTTAACATTGATGGCCGTCTATAGCAACAAAGTCTGAAAATATCCTCTCAGAGATTTGTTTCTTTTGATTTCATGCAAAAAACCTATTCGTGGAAAAAGAAGATGAAATTGGTTTTCAAATTTTTATTTTTACTAGTCTCTATTCTTCTGTAATATACAAACATTAATGATTTTGGTTTTGGGTGATCTCTACCATCAGATCAGGCTATCCTTGCATCACAACTCTTCCCTATTTCTTTTTCTTTTCTCTTTTTTTTTTTTGACAGAGAGTTTTGCTATAGTGGGTGTGTGCTGGCCAGAAAGACAGAGAGAGACAGAAAATGAGAAATCACCCCCCCTCCCCCAGGGGGGATGGCCATGCCACAATCCCTTCTCCTCCATTTTCCTCTCAAGATCTTGGACATGCACACACATGTGCCCGGCATGAGTTTAAGCCACCAGATCCAGGACTCAAACCGTAACCAACTACATGGGAGTCCAGCGACATAGCCATTATGCCAACTGCTGGTCCAACTCTTCTCTATTTCTTCACAAAAAAATTTAAGAAAACAGGAAAAGGACAGAAAGACATGAACACAGGAAGGAAAGAAAATAAGGGGAAGTGGAACAGAAAAAAAAAAAAAAAACCCTACATATAAGTAGAAGCAGAATAATAATCACAGTAAAAATGATTTACTTGAAAGAAAAGATCAGTGCTTTCTTCCTTTACCTTCCTTCCTATCTCTCTCTCCATCTCTTTTTCTCTCCCTCTTTCCTTCTTTTTCTCTTTGTTTTGTTCTTTCTTTCCTTTTCTCTTTCTTTCCATTTTTCCTCTCATCGTCTCTTCCTTCCTAGGGGAACTTAGTATCTCCACAGAATTGAGAGATTTCCTTCTACGTTTCTATGGGACTGGAATTGCAAACACCTAAGATGGTAGCTGGCTCTTTCCCAGCCAGCTAGGAAGCAGTGGAGGCAGTGAGCGTCAGTGAGTGGGGATGCAGCAGGCTCGGGGCCAACTTACCTGTCACCTCACAAGCCAAAGTAACACTCTGCTTCTCTTTTACCTTCACGTCTTCCAATGTGTTTTCACCCACAATCCGAGGTGGTACTAAAAAACAGGAAAACTAAGTAACAGCTCTAACAGCAAGACTGCTATTTTATACTCATCTATGTTTATACTTTTATTAAACTCTAACCTTCAAAACAAATCTTCAGATTCCCATTCACTATTTTATTGCCAAATGTCAGAATACTCTTTTCATCAATTATACTTTAAAGATATATCATAAAATGGGACCAGCAGATGGTGTAATGATTACATCTCTGGACTCTCATGTAGTTGATGGCAGTTTGAGTCCCGGACCTGGAGGTTTAAAACTCATGCTGGGCATGTGTGTGTACATGCCCAAGACCCCCAAGAGGAGAATGGAGGAGAACAGAAAATGTGGCACAGCCATCCCCCGGGGGGTGATTTCTTGCTTTCCGACTCTCTCTCTCTGTCCCTCTAGTGAGTGCACGCATCCTATAGCAAGAAGTATTTCTCTAAAAAGAAAAGAGATATTTCATAAAGTTACATCCTATTAATCTAATTCTTATGAATTTCACTGTAACGTGAATCCTAAAGTCTAGATAAAAATATCTCGACAAGTCAATGCATAAGACGATTTAATATTTATTTCTCCCATTATAACCCTAATAAGCACTCACATTAAACAAGTCATTAGGCATCTCAGAATGTTGCTGAACAATCAGGAACTGACAAGCTCTGGCACTGGAGCCATTTTAATCAGATTGATTGCCTCCAACTAATTCTCACATTGAGTTCTTGCCAAGACTCACAGTTTAGATGCCAAAGGACACATGGGCATAAGATCAAGCTGCAAATACATTTAACTCTGCTTCCAAAATATATTTAATCCAATCAGATTTTTTTTTAAGATGTTGCAAATTATGTAACTACCTAATACTGAAAGGCGGAAGATTTTTCTTTCTTCACCAGCTTCATTCCTCACGATGCAGGTGTACCAGCCAGCATCCTCCACTCTGGTCTGCAGCAACCGCAGCATCCTGCCTCCTGCAGAAGTAAACCAACAGGTGACTTAGGACACCCGCAACTCTACAGGTTGTCTGTGATGCTCAATTTAAGTAAACGTTTAATCAATACACTTCAAAGTCTTTCTTTTTTATCCCATGTTTTAAACCTATATAAAACATACTAGATAATTCAGAAGAATCTTCTGGTTCAATGAATAAAAAGTAATACAATACTAGGTGAGAGCAAGCAAGAAACTGTATTTTACAGAGCAGGTGATGTTTGATATAATCTTAAAAGGTATGTTTTAACAGATGAGTTGAGAGACAGCATTGTAGGTAGAGTATGAGTAAGAATACAGAGATAGAGGGACTAGTGGTTGGTGTAATGCCTATGTCACTGGACTCCCAAGGAATTGACCGCAGTTCGAGGCACAGAGCCGGCGGCTTAAACTCATGCTGGGCACATGTGCATGCGTGCCCAAGATCCCAAGAGGAGAATGGAGGAGAAGGGATTGCGCTGTGGTCATCCTCCCTGGGGGGTGATTTCTTGCTTTCTGTCTTTCTGTGTCTCTGTCTTCCTGGCGAGCGCACACACCCTATAGCAAAAATCTCTCCCCCCAAAAAAGAATAATAATAATAATACAGAGATAGAAAGAAGTGATCATGGTACCTATAGCAGAACAGGTGGAGAAAATGTTTAAGAGATGAGGATAGAGGAAGCACAGACTTTGAAAGCTGTGCTAAGGAATTTAAACTGTACTGTGTTCACTAAAAATCTATGAAAATGTGTACACAAAAAAGTTCCTGATCTGATGTGTGCTTTAGGAAGACAACGGAAGACAGGAGGTTTAAGAAAGATTTCCAGTTTGCAGTTGAACATAGAAAATGGGAATGTCAGGGCTGGGCCCACAGCCTAGTGGTTAAGGGAGGTGGATCCCACATGGCTAACTACTATATGAACACCACACCAGCAGCTGTAAAACATGCTGGGTGCATGGCATGTGTGTCCACAATCCTGACAGAGTGGAGAAGTGGAGAAGGAATGTGGCACAACCATGCCCGCAGTGAAGGGTGCTTTTCTCTCTCTTCCCTCTATCTGTCCATCTCCCTCTGGGAGGCACGGGCTCCCTCTAACAGTTGAGAAACAAATAGGAATGTCAGAAAAGGGACTGGATCAGTCTCAGATTTGCATGATGTCAATACGTAAGGACACGTGTGTATGTGTGTTCCAGATCCTTACAGGAGAGTGGAGGAGAAGGGACTATGGTGTGGCCATCTAGCCTCGGGTGTGATTTCTTACTTTCTCTTTCTCTTCTCCTGGTGAGCACATGCACTGTATAACAAAAACTAACAATGACAACAAAATAGTGGGAATTTAAACTCTGTTTGAACAGATGTGAGGAAGGGAACATACAATCACTTAACATAGTTTATCTTGACTTTAAAAAGTTGCTTATAGGGTCCAGTAGATTGTATAATGGTTACATCACTGGACTCCCATGTAGTTGACTATGGTTCAAGTCCCAGACCTGGAGGCTTAAAACTCACACCAGGCGTGTGCCCAAGATCTTGAGAAGAGAACAGAGGAGAAGGGATTGTGGGGTGGCCATCCTAGAATGGAGGAAAAGGGATTGCGGCATGGCCCCCTGCCCTGGGGGGGGGGTGATTTCTCACTTTCTGTCTCTCTGTCTCTCTGGGAAGCACATGCACTCTATAACAAAAAAAGAAAAACAAAACAAAACAAAAAAAACCACCTCTTTCTAAAAAAGAAACAAGTCACCTATATTTAGTACCAAATCTGAATTAATCTTCTATACACTGATGTTCCATTTAACCTTCAGAACTAAACAGAACCAACACCATTCTTTCTATATCATGGTTCTTAAAATATTTAAATTTAATTTTCATTCTGTACTAAATACACCATAAGGTTTATTTTTTTCCAGGCTAAATACAACCAGCCAGATTCATTATTTTGCAATCATTTATCATCACAGTTATCCTTCCTTGAAATGTTATCAGTAAATCCTAAAAAGTGCTAAAGATTACACTATAATTGCTCTCTTACTTTTCTTACTGGGGAAAATATAATTTATTAAGGAGGCAAAAAATATTGCATTTGTTTTTTGATGATCACATTATACTGCTAAAGAGTACTGAACAACACAATGTAGAATTTTTTTCCTATTAGGAATTCTCAAGCCATACCTCACTATAATTTTCATCATTGGTTTTAAATGTAGGTACAGGAGTTTACTCAACCTTCATCTTGTTACGTTTAACTCAAAATTGCCATTATGTGGCCAACCCTGTAGCCTGGTGTTAAGGGAGCCGAATCCTTTTTAGTCAATGGTTTGAATACTGGCTCTGCAAGCTTGAAAAATACATCAGGCATGTGTGCATGTATGCCCAAATTCCTCACAGGATGGAGAAAAAGAGGAGAAGGGATTGTGGTGTGACCACATCCCACCAGAGGGCGGGTGTGTGCTTTCTTTCACCATCCCTCCCTTTTTATTTTTATTTAGAGAGGTTTTTGCTATAGGGTGTGTGCACTCACCAGAAAGACGGAGAAAGAGGGACAGAAGGTGAAAAATCACCTTCCCAGAGGGGATGGCCACCCCATAATCCCTTCTCCATTCTCCTCTAGGGATTTTGGGCACACACGTACACACACCTGGTGTAAGTGTTTTAAGCCACCAGGTCTAGGACTTGAACCGTGGTCAACTACATGGGAGTCCAGCGACATAGCCATTATGCCAACTGCTGGTCCCCCTACCACTCTCTGTCTCTTTCTGGCAATAGTACATATCCTTTGGGGAATAATAATAATAATAATAATAATAATAATAAAAGAAAAATTTCAACATATTTTGAATTTAGATGCTTTGACCCAATATCATAGGAATTTTTTCTAGGTATTCAGGATGATTATTAACCACAAAATAGGCAAAATTGTCTTCCTAGTTTGTATCCAAATCATAAATAAAATGGACCAACTGCAGATTCCTGTGGCATACTCCAAGAATCCTCTTTCCATGAACATATTTTGATGCATAAAGAACAGCAATTCAGGTTTTCCTGCACAGTCAGATGAGAAATGAGCTGAAAAGCTCTTTTACAACAATGATAGAATCTTCGATCACAGAAAACTGTCCCACCCTGGAAATGTAAACATCCTTTAGGTTAGTCATGAATAAGCTGAAATACTTGGATAGGAGAATGTTCACTAACACAATTCACTGTAGATGTTAGACTCAATTTCAGCACTTTGAATTCTTCATTTTTCTAGCTGGTTGGTATGCATTGCTGCATGAACACTTTGACAGCTCAGGATTTAAGAACTAAGGGAGTGACAAGATTTATTTTTTAAAGGGGACTAGAGATATTTTGAGGCCCTCCCCCCTTTTTCATATAGCTTCCTATGTCCTTCGAAACATATGATTGGTAGGTATTATAAGAAGCAGTTAGATCAAAAGGAATAGTCAAACAATAAAAACACTGAGAAATAGAAAATTAAGGAAAAACTGTGACCATATGAAGCTAATCAGATTATCAGTCCACCAGGATTTTAACTACCTGAGAGAATTCTCACAGAATTGCTAAGGCTGATGGGCCACCCATCTTTAAGCCAGGTTATTGAAGGCAGGGGAATTCCAGAAGCTTCACAAGCTAAAGACACGGAGTTCTTTTCCACCACACTGATATTTTCTGGTGTCCCATGGTTTCCTATAATGCTTGGAGGGGCTGTAAGACAAAACAAAACAAGCAGGAAAAGAAAAGGAAGATAAATAATAGCAAACACCAAATCCCAAACAGCTTATTGTTAATAATAAAACTGCCATTTTAAAAACCAGTTAAGTTTTTAAAAAAAGTAATCACAAAAATGAACTTTATTTTTTTTTTATTATTTTTTTTTAGTATGACATGCCTGAAAGTAAAATTATGACTTCTTTCTTCCCAACTCTTACCAATAAATTAATACATGTTTTTATTCCAATGGTGGTTAATGATTTTTCTACAAGTCACTTGTCTTTTCTGGTAAATTTATAGTATGGATTCACAACTCTTAAAATTCTTCTCTCTCTCTCTCTCTCTCTTTCTCTCTTTGTCTCTCTCTTTTTTGAGAGGTTTTTACCTGAGGGTGTGTATATTAGTCAGAGAGAGAGAGAGACAGAGCCCATGAAAAGGAAAGTAAGAAATCACACACTGGGGAGGATGGCCACATCGCTATCGCTTCCCCTCCATTCTCCTCCCAGGATCTTGGGCATGTACACACACGTGTCCAATGTGAATCTGAAGCCACTGGGTTTGGGACTCAAACCATGGTCGACCATGTGGGAGCCCAGCAATGTAACCAATACCCTAGTCTTTTTCTGTTTTATATTTAGATTACTTTAGTTTTGGCACACACGTTGGCTATAAACACCAGTATGTTAGTTCTGAGATAGATTGATTTAAATTAGCCAGAGGGCTCATGCATTAGCCAGAGAAATACAAAGAAAGGGAAAGGAAAAAGTGAAGGCCCACCCTTCACCCAGGCATGGTCATGGCTCTATCCTTTCTCCTCCATTTTTCTATCCTGTTGGACTTTGGTCATACATGCATATGTGTCTGATATATTTTTCAAGCTGCTGAAGCCAGATTCACCTCCCTCAACCATTAGTCTATGGGGCTGGCCCAATACTGAGCTTTGTGTATATCTTAACTGAATTCAAGTTATAAAATTTGATTCTATTAAATTACTACTGCTTCTATAGATTTAAACATTATAGTTCAAATTACATGCATCCAAACATTTAGTTGTCCCTGAGTAAGTGTATGTTTGGTCTGTTCCTACAGACATTCACAGCTTATTAATAAAATATTTGAGCCAATATTGGTACAACTCATGTCTGACTGATGCCTGTCAGTAAGTTGGTACAACTCATGTCTGACTGATGCCTGTCAGTAAGTTCTAAGGAAACTAGGTTTTTAATAGCTTAGGTAAGCCAGCTAATGTGGAAAACAGGAAGGGAGGGGTCCTCAAACAGTTTATGAAAAATGCATGTCATGAAAAAACTGCGTGTATTTCAAAATTTTTTGCATTAGAATAAAGTAGTGTTTACATTTCATACTTCAATAGACTTTTTGAAATCCCTTTGAATAATTAAGGAACTGTACTTGAGACTACATTGAACCGAAAGTACTTGAAGAAGACAATGTGCCTTCCTAAAAGAATATCCGATATGTGCTTATCTCAGTAAGGTCAGTAAGGTGGGTTCAGGCAGAGATGTTTAGATGATAGGATTGATTTAGGGAAGTCTACATGTGTTGAGAAGGATGGAATATATTGGGCCAACCCCACAGTCTAATGGTTAAGGAAGCTAGATTTCACCTGGCCAATGGTTAGAACCCCAGCCTCAGTGGCTTGATAAACACGTCGGGCACGTGTGTATTCATACCCCAAACTGCAAGAGGATGGAGAAATGGAGAAGGGATTGTGGCATGACTGTGCCCTATTAGGGCCTGCTTTCTCTCTATCTTTCTGTTTCTCTCTGGCAAGCGCACATGCTCTCTCACAATTAAAAAGAAATTAATTAATTGAAGGATGGAATATAAAGAAAAGACTTTTAATACTTGAGGGCTATCTCTCCCATTCAAGATGCTAGATTATATCAGCCAGCGAATAGAACTATTAAGGCACTTTCTACTTACCATGTACACTTAGGTCATATTTTTTGTCTCCTGCTACATTCACAGCAACACACACATAGCGACCTGTGTCAGATACGTGAACGTTCCTCAGCTGAAGGGTACGACCTTCATCCAGTACTTCCACTCCTCTTCCCTTGGTCAAAGGGCGGCCATCTTTCATCCAGGTCACTGTGGGGTGAGGAACACCCTGCACCTCACACTCCAAAGAGATACTCTTTCCTCGAGTCACAATAATTTCAGTGGAGTGGCTGCCATTGTTGGTTATTGTTGGTCGAACTAAGGCAAAAAAAGATAAAAAGAATAGGAAATATTTGTTTCATGTCTTACATAGGAATTTTTATCAAAGTTAAGCATATCCTTTTATGTGAAACTATTACCTATTAAAGAAAAGACTCGGACTAACAGACATAGCATTACTCTATTGAGAGGTGGGATTCCTCTCCAATGTCTACAAGTGGATTCTTTTTTTTTTGGGAGAGGATTTTTGCTATAGGGCACATGCACTCACCAGACAGACAGAGAGAGACAGAGAGACAGAAAGCGAGAAATCACCCCCCAAGGGGGATGGCCACGCTGCAATCCCTTCTCCTTCATTCTCCTCTTGGGACATGCGCCTAGCGTGAGTTTAAGCCACCGGGTCTGGGACTCGAACCCTGGTCAACTACATGGGAGTCCAGTGACATAGCCATTATGCTAACTGCTGGTCCCTATAAGTGGATTCTTACCTAAGGTTATTGACATAATAAGAAAAGAATGTTTTGTTTATAATTTCTTGTTTTCACAAAGTTATGCAAATATTTGAATTATCACTTGTATGTTTTATAGAAGTCCTCATAATAGTAATTTTAAGAGCCTCCTTGTAGCCCAATGTCTATTACCAACTCCTTCCTTCCTTCTATATTCTAATACAAGAGTTGGAAAAACTGAGACTTTCTCAGCCTTCTTTAAAAATTGGATTAGCCATCTGAATCAATTCTAATCTATGCATCTGAACTGAGGTGCATTGGGAGTTTGGGGGAATTTTTTGCTCTCTTGGTGAAAGGGAAATATACCACCCTTTCTTCTTGCCTTCGATGTGAACTTCACACCAGCTGCAGCAACCATCTCAGGAAGGATGGGCCAGGAGACCTCAGAGCTCCTATCCTGATATGAATAAGCTACTGACCAACCCCAGGGCTAACTGCCAACCTCTACTTCTCATCATGAGAGACAGTTATGACCTCTACTTGTTCAAGCCACCAGAACCACTTACTCTGCTAGTTTACAGCTGAATTCACCCAGATGATACAGATTCTAAGAACAGAAATGAGACCAACCCTAATAAATATGTGTGTGCAGAAACAACACACACACACACACACAAACAGGTCACTGAGTGTCATCCTGTATTTTAGTGCCAGTTCTACTTACACAGCCTCGTGACCTCAGTCAGTCATGAATACCTCTCTGAGCTTACATTTCCACATACGCAAAATGGAGGCAATTGTTTTTATCTTTTATAACAGCTCATATAAAGATCAAATGAGATAAGGTAAATATTTTAAACATTCTAAAATCTTATACAAGTTAAATATTCTTTACAACAAAGTATTTTTGCATACTTTCATGTGAAAAGTATACTCTATGATACAATGCCACCTTTATCCCTTCACATGTCATTATTATTTTTTTTTTGAGAGGTTTTTGCTATAGGGTACATGTGCTCACCAGAAAGAGAGAGAGAGACAGAGAGACAGAAAGCGAGAAATCACCCCTCAGGGGAGATGGCCACGCTGCAATCTCTTCTCCTCCATTCTCCTCTCGGGATCTTGGGCATGTACGCACACACCCGGTGAGAGTTTAAGCCACCGGGTCCAGGACTGGAACCGTGGTTGACTACATGGGAGTCCAGTGACAAAGCCATTATGCCAACTGCTGGTCCCTATTTTCATTGTTTTTTCAAGACAGGGTCTTGCTGTATCGTGATCCTCCAGCCACTGCCTCCCAGCTACAGGGCTATAGATACCACCACTCCTGGCTCTTCTTTAGTCTTATTATGTTTTCCAGGACAGCCTCAAGCTCCTGGTTCTCCTCCCTAGTGCTGGGATTAAAGGTGTTCACCATGGGACCTGGTCTTTAAGGTGGACAGGAATTTAACCAGGTCTGTCTTTGGTCCCAGTGTGCAGAAGGCAGCATTGTAATACATGCTACAGTGGCTGAGCCAGAGTTCAGGATTCTTTCCCCAACAAATTACAGCCACCTTGATTTGTCTTCCATAGTGAGCTGATGCAGAGTAGACCACTGTATTGTGAACCAATAACATCCAGGAAGAAATAACTGCTCTCTGGTGATGTCAGTAGAATTTAAATTTACAATTTAATAATAAACTATATTACTTTGAATGAATCTCAAAGATACGAAGAAAAATGACAAGGATGGAAAGATTCAAAAGAGAATGTGCCAAAGCTTGGATAATAATAACTTACTGTAAACGTGCAGATTATAGTCTTTCTTTGCAGTTCCAGCCACGTTTGATGCTACACATGTATAGAGTCCGGCATCCGATTTTTCAGCAATTGAAATTTGTAACTGTCTGCCTCCAGATAAAATTCTAACTCGCCCTGCAGAATCAACCAGCACTGGAGAGCCTGCAGACAAAACAAAGAGGCAGAATATGAGGCAAAAACATAAAGAACTTATATTTCTACTTATTTATTTACTTCCTAGGTCAGGTATCTAAAAAAAAAAATAAAAGGCAGATGATACTAAACAACGAAGGACTAAAATTTAGATGAACTAAAAGGTTAGATGATCTGTTTGATACTTAGTGGGCACAAATAAGATTTTTCATCAAATAAATTAAAAATGTCCAACTGCAGAATTCATTTTTTTTTAAAGAGATTTTAGCTATAGGGCACATGTGCTCACCAGAGACACACAGATACAGAGATACACACAGAAACAGAAAGCAAGAAATCATCCTTCAGAGGGGATGGTTGTGCCATAATCTTTTACCCATTCTCTCGGGATTTTGGGCATACCCGTACACATATCTGGCGTGAGTTTTAAGCCACCATGTCCAAGACTGGGACTGCAGGTGACCACAAGTCCAGCGACGTAACCATTACATCATCTTCTGGTCCTGCACCATTTTTTTTTTTCAATGTTGAATATTTAGGTTTTATTTCAATTTTAAATTTTTATTTAATTTTCTATTTTCTATTCCTTAAATGCTTTGCTTCATTCTTTTTTCCCTTGATCTCCTCCTTCTCACTCTCCCCCATTTCCCACCTTCCTCCCACACTGTCTAGTATCCACAGTTGTTCTCCATGCCTTTATAACTTCCAATATTGCATATCCCTGTTTATTGTGGCATTGTTCACAATTGCTAAGACATGGAACCAGCCCTAATGTCCATGAACAGATTAATGAATTTAAAAATGTAGCACATATACATTACAGAATACTGTTCAGCCATGGAAAACAATGAGACCCTAGCATTTGATAATAAGTGGATGAATATGGATGAATATTTACTGCTAAGTGAAGCAAGCCAGACTACAAAAGAGAGGCATTGTATGTCCCTACTCAATATACACCAAATGTCTGAATTCTACTGCAGATTTCATCTTAATATACATTGTAAAAGTATCACACATACATAGAAAAAGTTTAAAAATAATTTTAAAATTCTATTTTAAACAAGAAAATATAGTTTCTTGAATGGTAGATCCTCAGTAATTACAGTTGTCCTATAATGCATTTGTGTAAGAAACAATGTAGAAAATTAATTTTTTTTTTCTGTAGTTCAGTTAGTAGTCTCAAAAAATTGAAGATTTTCAACTGGACAGTGTAGGAATATTACACATTGTGCATTTAATATTACACATTGTGCATTTAACTTTGCTAGTTAGCATTTAGTATGAAAACTCTAGGAAAGTGTGTTTATAAATTATCATATTTGTCAAACAAAAATTAATATTCATTTTCTACTTATATTTAATTTTATAAACTTTAAAGGATGAAAACTGACCTTTCTTTTTCCAAATGAGGTTTGGGGGTGGAATACCACTTGATTCACACAATAGACTGATGAGATTCCCTTCTATGACTGTAAGTTGAGCAAATTCATCAGAACCATAAATATTTGGGGGTACTGAAGGGAAAAAAAAACACTATGTTAATACTCATTTATACAGAATTTCTCTAATACTTTACATACAAGAAAAAAATGTTCTACTCAATGACATAAGGAAATAATCAGCAGAAGAAGCTGACTTATCAAGACCATATATTAAAGAGAGCCTGTAAGACATAGAATAAATACCTAATAGAAGACTTCCCATTTCAAAGATAGAAATTTAATTATCAAAATATACAGGATGGTACAAAAAGAAGTCAAACTTACAGAAACTCAGACACTTTGCATCAAAAAGCACCTATGAAGTTTACACCAACCCCAATCACTGGTACCTAACCAGCTTTGATATCTCAGGTACTGAGTAGAATTGGAAAACATTAGAAAGATAAGACATAGGAAATACTGGAAGCAAGAGATATCATCTAAAGAATGGACACATGACCTGTTCTATGTGTCACAGTGTCCTATCTGGCCTCCAGCTCCTCCCTGGAAACTCCAAAGGGGGGTTGGACTATTCGCACTTCTCTCAAAGAGGCTGCAGTCTGTGCTGCTGGCTGAACTCTCCCCTAGGACACTTCTCTGGCTACAGTATCATGTGGAAGGTGTTTGCTGTCCAGGCTTCTGGAAGTTCAGGAGTTGGAGAAATCTCTTCTCCCCTAGTGCAGCTTCTAGACATTGTTCACTCATCTTCACATAAAGGCTACACTCCTGTGAGGCTCGTGCCACCCATTTACTTTTCTTTTTGTTACCCTCCTCCCCAATCTGTGAACCTGTCATTCTTCCTCTATTTACTGAACACTTCAGTCCTTGCTTTCATGTGTCTTCTTCATATCAAGTCCTGCCATCACTCTGTATAACCTCAACCACCACTCATATAGCCACCCTAAACATCTAGTCCACTCTGGTCCTTGATTTGTTCATCCCTTCCTCTATCAGAGGCCACACTATGGACCTTTCATCATCTAGAACATTCCTTCTGTAAATCTATAAATGTAGGCTATTCTGACAAGCGCTCTTCTGTCTTGTTCAATGATTCCCAGTTTTCAATTCAGTTACTTAATTGGCTCTCAAGTCCTTTCACCTCTTAAAAGTCTCCCCATCTGGCTTCCAACTCTTTGTTTACTGACCTCTCTATCCATCTGAAATTAATTTCATGATCAATAATTTCAACTGCACTTTCTCAACTGCTTTGCACTTTTGCCCTGTCAACATTCCTACTCTGGGTGAATTCTACTGTTTTCCTGTCATCATCAATACCACAGGATGGAAATTCTATAGAAGAAAACAACACATTGCCATTTCTATACAGTCATGATCTTCATTCTAAACTCTTCCTTTATTTATTCTCTGGCTTTGATTAATACAAATACCTCAAATACATATCTATATGTAAAGTCCTTGTGAGAATTAGACTTCTATAGTCAACTGATTAATTAACATCTCAACTCAGGACCAGCAGATGGTATAATGGTTATGTCACTGGACTCCCACATAGTCGACCACAGTTTAAGCCCTGGACCCAGTGCCTTAAAACTCATGCCACGCGCATGCCCAAGACCCCGAGAGGAGGAGATGGTATTGTGGTACAGCCATCCCTGCTGGGGGATGATTTCTCACATTCTGTCTCTCTGTCTCTCTGGTGAGTGCCCTGCAGCAAAATTCTCACTCTCTAAAAAAAAGAAATTAACATCTCAACTCAATGCCTTAGAAGCATCATCAAACTTCACTTGTTTATAACTGAACTTAATCACCTTTGTTCCCTACCTGAGGAAGGAACACTATTGTCCACATGCCAAGCTGGCTAAGACACATGAACATCCATTCTTTTACACTTCTAGTTTCTAAACTTATTCATCTAATCAATTAATTGTGTTAAATCAATTTATTTAATATGTATAGTTTATGTACTTTTAAAAAAAATACAGATGTGTGCATTCAGTCCTTTAAATTCCTTTAATATATCCTACCATTTTTAGAATCAAATCCACATCTCTTAAAATTGATGTGAGAAGGGTTCTTCAATCTGCTCCTTTTTACCTTTTTACCTAAAATCTTCTCTTTCTCCTCTGTACCATTCCAGGCTCCATAATCAATAGTGCTCAGTTTGCTGAATAAAAATAGCATTCTTCAGGTCTTTGTATTGTTTTTGCTATGATTTGGATAATGGTTTGTCCTGCAAAGGTTCATGTTCTGGAAATGTGGTCACCAGTATAATGGCTTTGGAAGGTCGTGGGACCTATAAGAGACACAACCTCATGGGAAGGCATCAGCTAATCAGCTAGGAGTGTGGAAGAGACAAACAGAGGAAGTAGAAAAGTCTGTTCCCATTCTATGTTCTTCTGCACTTGGCTGCTGACTTGCTCGTTTCTCTCGGCCTTCTTATGACATAGCAAGAGAGGCCAGTGAGATGCCAGACCCATGCTCTTGGACATTCCAGCCACCCATTCAAGTTGTGAACCAAATAAACCTCTATTCTTTATAGGTCACCCAGTTTGGCAACACAGTAACTGTTTAATACAGTTTCCATCCTCTTTACAGAGTTAATGCTTAAGGTCTCAGTTAGATGTTACATGATCCAGTATGTCTTTCCACATAACCTCCTATAGTAACCCTTGAGAGATTTATTTTTAATTGATTATTTAAAGATTTCTCTATACTAGCCAACTATAAGTACTATGAAAACAGCATCTTTGTCTTTTTCCTTAACCTCTCTATGCCTACATATGGCACAGTGCCTAGAATACAGAACACACAGCATACATATCATTTGTGTCTTCTTCATTTTTCTAATCAGTGTTTTATAGTTTAATTGTAAAGATCTTCAGTTCCTTGGTAAAATCTACACCTGGATATTTTACGTAATGTTGCATTGATATATTACATTATTGTAGCTATAAATGATTGCTTCCTTTTTCAGTCAGTTTGTTATTGGTGCATAAAATGCTACTAATTTTTGTATATTGATTTTTTGTATCCTGTAACTTTACTGAGTTCATTTATTATTGGGTTGCTGGAAAAGTCATGATGCATTTTTCCATAGAAAAGCAGAGAAAAAATATGTCATCAGTTTTCAGATGACAAGTTTCAGTAGTTTTTTTGTTTTGTTTTGTTTTGTTTTTAAGGAAACTTTAAATTTGTCTATATGGAAAATTATGCATTTACAAACAGGAAAAGTTTGATTTTCTTCCTTTTCAATTTGGATAACCTTTATTTATTTTTCTTGGTTTATTTCTTTGGCTAGGAATTCCAGGAATATGATAAATAAGAGTGACAAAAGTGGACAACCTTGACTTGGTTCTGGTTCTTAGAGAAACAAGCTTTCAACTTTCCCCCATTGACTATAATGTTAGCTGTGGATTTTTTCATATATGACCTTTATAGTATTGAAGTGTATGCCTTCTATACCTAATTTGTTGAGCATTTTTATCATGACAAGATGTATTTTACAAATGTTTATTTCTGTGTCAATTGAGATGATCATGTGGTTTTCACTCTTCCTTCTGTTGGCTTATCGCTTTTTATTGATTTGCATATGTTGAACCGTTCTTGCATCCCTTTCAGTCCTATGTCTTTAGCTCTTATCTCTCCTAAACCATAGACTCTTCTTTCTGACTGCATGGAGGACCACTGAACGTGGTAAGAATTATCTTAATGAGTAACAAATGGTAACATTTCAAATAAGAGTAGCTTTTCTCCTGGCAAAGTAATCCCATTCCCCATCACACAAGTGCATATATGTTCTCTCTCTTTCTCTCTCTCTCTCTCTCTCACACACACACACACACACACACACACACACACAGTTCACATATCCAATTTGGCCACATGAATTACTTTTTATTAAATTTTTTAGAGTGATTTTTGCTATAGGGTGCATGTGCTTGCTGGAGACACAGAAAGAGATGGAGAGAATGTAAGAAACCAGCCCCTGGAAGGGATGACCATGAGGCAGTTCCGCCTCTTCTGTTTCCCTCTTGGGATTTTGGGCATGAGCACAGAAGTGCCTGGCCTGAGTTTCAAGCCCCAGATCCAGGACTCAAGCCACAGTACAGTATGTGGGAGTCCAGTGCCTTAACTACTGTGTCACCTGCTGGTCCCTTTATGATTGATTTTTAATTGACTAATACACCAATAGCTCTAAAGAAGGCCAATTATTATGAGCTCTCAGGGGCTGCAACTAAAGGGGATATTACTTGGGCAGGAGAAGAGAGACTCATGCTACACCACATTAAAATGATTAATGTATCCAGGCTTATATAGCTGCTCTTGAATGACTTAGTTGATATTAAAGACAGTTCAGTATTATCTACATGTACTGATTATTACTCACCTATGTATTATAATCTAAATGACAATTTTAGTTATACAAATGCCATTTCAAAAATCTATACAAAGGATAAAAGGTTGAACCAGAAATTGGATCAATTTCTTTACAGGGGCTGGTTAGACTTACCCCAAATATTGACATTATAATTTTTCTCTGTTTTTCCAGCAACATTTGTTGCTTCACATGTGTACCGACCGGTGTCTTGAACTTGAGCATCTTCAATCTGAAAACAAAATCATACTTTGAAACCACAGTTTCTATTGCATAATTGGGGAGGTTCTATTAATGCCACTTATGATCTTTTTAAATTTTTTAAAATCATTTTATTTAACTTTATTCATTTATTCATTTTCATTTATTTTAATTTGACCAGAGAGGGAGGGAGGGAGGGAGGGAGGGAGAGAGAGAGCGAGCGAGCGAGAGCTGCCAGGTTTGGAACTTGAACGTGGTCAGCCATGTGGGAGTCCAGCACCCTTAACCACCACACCACCTGCTGGCCCCTTTATTTTTAATTCTTTTTCTGAAAAATTTTCAAACATATAAATACTAAGATGAACGACTGTAAGCCCTATTCAACACTTATCCAGATTCCACTATTTTCTGACTTTTTTTTATGTTATATCCTATTTTAATCTAGTTTACATTAGTGGTTGAAGGTCTAGGAAGGCCTTTTAAATGCAATTCAAATAAAATAGAAAAAAAATCACACTTTCTGATGAAGTTATTTACAACTTTAAAATATACAATTATTTTTATTGCATGAGGGTACATGCACTTGGTAAAGAGAGAGAAAAACTCCCCTCCCACCCAGTGGGTTCTGGTCATGTTGCAATCCCTTCTCCACCATTTCTCTATCCTTTCAGGATTTGGGGCATGCATGCAAATGCATTTGGTACGTTTGTTAAACTGCTGAGGCCAGGATTTGACTTGGGGTCAATCATGTGAGATCCAACTCCCTATACACAGGGCTTACCCACTGCACCATGGGCCAGGCCAAGATATTATATATAACCAGTGAGCTGTTCAGTACAATACAAAGAAGTCTTGGGATCCATTACTATCCACCATGGAGGCAGGCCAGGCACCCTGGAGGGTACAGGTCCCACTGAAATGGGGAAGGAGAAGGCATGTGGAATGAACACCCCAACAGAACTCAAGCCTAGTTAGCTAAAAGCTAGCTGTATACTACACAAAACCACTCACACATCTTCGATAGATAATACAGTAGAATCTTACCATTTTCTTTTGTCTGGAACATGCTAGGCGTCCAAGAAATAGTCATCCTCTCTAGTCTATGCTGCCCCTCTGCATCTCTTGATATGAGACAGGCAGGCCTGTACTTACTGACTTCAAAGTCCTGTAACCCCAGATCTGCTCAAGTTTGCACTGATTACGTGATTTTGAGCACTTTAGATCTCTTACTTGATCCTGAGTTTCTATATCTGTAAAGTGAGAAGATTGGCTGTTGATTACTCTTTCAGGACTAATATTCTTAGGTTCTCCTATGTGCTTTTATCTAATCCCAGCTCTATTGCTCATAGCAAATGATTAATAAGTGCCCACTGAACGTCTGCAGTGCACCCCAGTTAGGTTAACTATTCTCAGTGATTATGCCAATCTTCAATCTTTCTTCCTCTTTTGAATATTTTCTAAATAATTCATTGCAAACTATTTGGGAATAAGTCATACTGTTTATCTCTTGTATTATCTTGTATTAATACTTATATTTTATTTACTGTTGAACTCTTTTTTATGTTGGTATGCTTTATATTCTGAACAACAGACAGATTGAAACAAGTCAGAAACCATATATTACATTATAGTTCTTTATATCTTCTGCAGTATCTTCTACCTGCAGTACCTATTATAAGGTTTGTAAGAACTTCTGAATGGTCAATAATGAATAATGAATGTGTTCTGATGTGTGTTGCACATAAATATATGGAAAATACTTACTGGGACCAGCAGTTAGCATAATGGCTATGTCGCTGGACTCCCATATAGTTGACCGTGGTTCTAGTGCTGGGCCCGGTGGCTTAAACTCACACCAGGTGTGTGTGCGTGTGTGCCCAAGATCCTGAGAGGAGAATGAAGAGAAGGGATTGTGGCATGGTTATCCCCCCTGGTGGGTGATTTATTGCTTTCTGTCACTGTCTCTCTCTGTCTTTCTGGTGAGTGCACATGCCCTATAGCAAAAACCTCTACAAAAAAAAAAAAAAAAAAAAAAAAGAAAAGAAAAGAAAAGAAAGAAAGAAAGAAAGAAAGAAAGAAAGAAAGAAAGAAAGAACTTACTGATACACAATCATCTACAAGTACTAATCTGGGTACTAGGAAATGGAGGTTAACTGAATAAAATACTTAAAGAGGATCATCAGGTGGCATGATGGTTAAGGTACTAGACTCCTACATGATCAACCATGATTTGAGTCCTGGACCTGGCACCTTGAAAATCATGCTAGATGTGTGTGTGTGTGCATGCCCAAAATCCTAGGAGGAGAATGGAGCAGAAGGGATTGTGACATGGCCCTCCCCAAACAGGGGGATGATATTTCACTTTCCCTGTCACTGTCTGTCTCTCTGTGTCCCTCTTGGTGAGCACATACACCTTGTGGCAAAACAAAAAGAAGAGGAAGGGGAGGAGAAGGAGAAGAAGGAAAAGAAGAAAGAGAGAGAGAGAGAGAGAGAGAGAGAGAAGAGAAGAGAAGAGAAGACAAGAGAAGAGAAGACAAGAGAAGAGAAGAAAAGAAAAGAAAAGAAAAGAAAAGAAAAGAAAAGAAAAGAAAAGAAGGAAGAGGAGGGGGAGGAAGAGAAGAGAGAAGAGAGAGAGAAGAGAAGAGAAGAGAAGACAAGAGAAGAGAAGACAAGAGAAGAGAAGAAAAGAAAAGAAAAGAAAAGAAAAGAAAAGAAAAGAAAAGAAGGAAGAGGAGGGGGAGGAAGAGAAGAGAGAAGAGAAGAAGAAGAAAAAGAAGAAGGAAGAAGAAGAAGAAGAAGAAGAAGAAGAAGAAGAAGAAGAAGAAGAAGAAGAAGAAGAAGAAGAAGAAGAAGAAGAAGAAGAAGAAGAAGAAGAAGAAGAAGAAGAAGAAGAGGAGAAGAGGTAGTTGTTTAAAGAAATCCACTATGGGGAAACACATGTATAATAAACGCTTGTGCTCCCCTCCACTCCCCTCATGCTGCATCCTCCTTGGGTAAGCTGCTCGGCTTACTGCCTTTCCTATATCCTGGTACCAGTCATCCATTTAAGACTCTCTTTGTTAGCCAGAAACAACTCTCCTTCACCAAGAGGCTAAGTAATGGTTAGCAGTATGGGTTCTGAAGCTATACTCCATGTGTTCAAATCCAATTTCTGCCTCTTAGTACCTGTGAGCAGATTGTTTAGCTTTTTTTTTTTTTTAATTTTTCAGTTGGGTTACTATAGAGATTTTGTAAGCATTTTATGGTTTATGAATCCTAATTCCTTAGGCTGGCTTTCTTTTCTTCATTTATTTCTTTTTTTAAAAAATTTCTTTTAAAGGTTTATTTACTTAATTGTATTTTGGATGGACAAGGATGACAGAGAAAAAGAGAGAGAGCCTCCAGTGGGGTCCTGATGCTGCTATTCACCCTTAACCTTCACTCAGTCCTGGATCATGGCATGCATGCCTGGCATCCTCAGGGAGGTGTCTAGACTTAGATGGGGAACCTTCCTGTGTGGTATTGCCTTGCAGAGCATTACATTTTATCATTGCACCCCTGTCTGGCCCCTAAGCTGACTTTCAATGTCACTTCTATTTTTGCTCAAATTAGCCTTGTCAGTATTATTTCTAAATTATTCTACTTTAACCAAACTAGCTAACTTGCTTTCCTTAAACAGGCCTCTTGTCCTAAGTTCAACACAGACACGGTGGCACAAATAGTAGGGTACCACTGTGTGACGCTGGAGCCCCACAGCAGACCTGAGTTCTGATCCCAGACCAACCAAAGACAGTTAGTATGTGGTGTATGCTTGTCATCACAGCTAGCTGGGAGGTTGGGGTGAGAGGATCGTGACATTGTAAGACTATCAAACTGTGTCTAAGCCTATTTCTCTCTTTCTTTTCCTCAAAAAAGAAAAAAATCTAAGTAGTCTTCCAAGACTATTGCAGCTATTACAGGAAATCAGAGTCTCATTTTTGCCATCCCCCCAACATGTATTGTCTATCCCATCTACTTGGTAATTAACTTAGACTTACAGCAGTCATTGTATTTTTTAACTTAATTGTTAGCTTTTGTTCTTTAATAAGAGAGACATTTTCCCAGTTTTTTAAAACAATTATTTCATTTTATTAATTATTATTATTATTTGTTAGTTTGTTATAGGGCATGTGTACTCATGAGAGAGAGAGAGAGAGAGAGAGAGAGAAAGTGAGAAAGCAAGCCTCCAGGTCCAGGACTTGAACCATGGTTGGCCATATGAGAGTCCAGTGCCTTAACCACCATGCCAGTTCTCTTTCTCTTTCTTTCTTTCTTTTTTCTTTTCTTTTTTTTTTTTTTTAAATTTTCTATGGGACATGTGCACTTACCAGAGAGAGATATCCTCTGGAGATTTTCGGCACACATACATATGCCCTGGCTTGTTTTCCAAGCTACTAGGTCTAGTATTCAACCACAGAGGTGGCCTTGTGGGGCCTGGCTGCCTTAATCACAAGGCCACCTACTGGCTCCATTTTTAATATTTTTATATGGAACACACGGAGGACATGGAATGTGTCATACTTTTTTGCATCCTTACTTAGAGCATCTACAAAATGGGCATTTGGTGATTGGTGAAAGGATTGACATTGAGATACTCACATAATATTTCTATAATGTAATAGTTTTCTAAAAGCGTGTTTTAGAAATGGCTTCTGACTATGAAAATGGATAGACGTTTAAATATTGAAATCTCACTAAACATAAAATTGGAAAATATTACAATTATCACCAATAAAAGGGTTTCTAGAATTTTATAAAATAAAATTAGTGGAATGTTTGTAAAACACAGGGAAGTTGAATAGGGATATACTGAAACCATGGGCTTAGGAATAATATAGATGAAGTAAATGAAGCTATAGTTTTACCTTTAACATGCTTCCATTTCCAGAGATGCTGAGACCTGGTTTCTTCAGCAAGGGGCGGCCATCTTTTAACCAAGTCAGAGTAGGGGGTGGTACAGCATCGCTTTGACACAGTAACTCCACAGCGTGGCTAATGAGGACAGATACATTCTGTTCTTCTCCCATAATATTCGGTGGAACTAAATGAAAAATGGGATCTCCCTTAGGATAAAACAGGCCAGCATGCCTTTTATCTTCATTAATCACCAAGACATACACTGAATACTTTATTGATTCTTTTAAGAGGATCACAATTATTCCAACATACCCTCTGTGCATCATTTGGTTCAGAATCAAATGTTAGTAATAACTGATTAATGTAGCCCTGATGAACAAAAATAGTTCTTTGTATTAAAAAAAAAACTAGATACTGAAAGACTAGAGAACATAAAAGTATTAAAAATTGTAATGGACACTAGAGACAAAGTGGAAAAAGAATGTGAGAGGGGAAGTGTGTAGGAAATTTGAGGGGAAAATGGAGAGGTTAGACACTTGTGGGACACAGATAAGGTTGACAAGGATGTGTAAGATGGTCTCAAGCAGGCTGGATTGAGGTTCACACTCAATGATGTATAGTGATTTAATGTATCAATAGTAATTATATATATATATATATGTGTATATATATATATACATATATATATATGTAAGTATGTATGTATATTAAAAAAAGAAACCTTAGCTGATTGGACAAGGAAGCTTGAAAAACAAAGAATTTTAAAAAATACCAAGAAAGCAAAAGCAAAAAACAACACTTTGACTAAAAAGCAAAGCAAAAATAAAATGTATAATATTGCTCAAGAAAAAAACAACAAAAAATCTTTTAGAATTGAAAGTTCTCACCAAGTTGCCCATTTCAGACACTTTGAGAACTAGATATTAGTGATGAAGAGTACCAAAGTAATAAATCACTTACGAAATATTTTGGAAACAACAAATTAAAAGCAGCGACATTTTCAATATTTAGTATTATTTTTGGTGAAATAAATACATTTCATAATCACAGAGGCAAAATTAAAAAATAAAGCTGGAAGAGATCGTAGAGCTTCTCAATCCCACCTCACAGCACATACACCATAAAATGGATGGCAGATAACAGCTTGTGCAAAATAATATGATGAACCAATGGAAGTGCAAAACGTTAGGGGTCTCTAACTGGCAGTGTAGTGTTCTTTTTGTTTTTCCACATGCCTTGTCAACTTTCCATGGAGTGAAGGCCATGTGGACCGTGTGACAATAAAAAAAAAAAAAAAAAACTAAATCAGGAACCAGCTGTGCAACACACTCACCAGTACATAAAAAGAGAAAATGAGCTTAAATTTTAATGAGATTACAATTGGAATTCCCTGGCCATCAGGCTTGTCAGATGCTGAAATGTGTTCTTAGAGAAGCTGAAGCAATCTCCTTCCCTAGGGTGTATTAAAGAATAAAGTAAACAACCATTTGTCTTCAGTGGGTTAGGGACGGCCCTGCCAAGAACGAGAGGGTGGGCTCCATAACCACTCAAGGACTCTTTCAGGCCTGTGTATATAATAACTCAGAAAACTCAATCTAATGATGAAATCAGGACTGTTATAAAAGAGCCACTCCAAGAAAGCGTAGACAAGGCTTTCCTGGGCCATTTCTCACTAAATCCCATAACTATTCAGGATTGGAGAAAACTTAAACACACTGTAGCTTTTTTTTTTTTTTTTTTTAAACAAGAGAGTATAAGTTGAATTTAAATGCATCTTGAGAGACTTTCCAAATGCGTTGGTAGAAGTATTATCTTGTGGTATGAAACATCCTTAGAGTGTATTAGCCGTCATTTCAGGCTGGATACACCAGCACATGGTAAGATAACAATGAATGCAATAGACCAGCAACACCGTGCTTCTGTGTCTGTGAGGGTCCTCTGCTGCCACGTCTGCTACTGAGGAAAAGACACCACAGAAAACCAAAAAGATGAACAAAAGGGCACCCTCCTGTGCTGTTTCTAGGTGCAGAACTTGAGCTAACCCCCCGGGAATTGTGCTAAGGGAGGAACCATCGTGAACAACGGCCAGGATGATGTTCTGCTCCATTTAATAGCACACGGATATCTGGCTCTCAGGGAAGGTCATCTGCGAGGTACAGAAAACAGTGAGATTGTGTTTGCTATGTGACGCATTAGATGAAAGACGCACAATTAGTCTGTTGGAGATTAAAACTGCTGTAAAAGTGACAAAACCTGCATAATCGGTGTCACTTTCTAAGATATCATGAACACTGATACAGTCACATGTCTTAGCATCCCAGGAAGCCCTACATAGGATAGGTGACTTCACAGCCTGTTAATCATTTGGGGAAAACTTTGGTCTCATTAGCTAAAAGTATCATAACTATATAAAGACATGTTTATCTTAGATTCTTTGTAGAATTTTCAGAAAAGCATGAATTCTTTCTTGCTGTTTGCACAAGTCAAAGTGGGAAACAATCCAAGACTATAGAATGCTAATTTATTTCTAAATCTGTTGAATCAAATTCAAAAGGAAACTAGACTTTTAAAATGGAGTGGAAAAAGATGCAAACACAACAAAGTCTTTGTTTCAGAGGCATCAATGAAAGAAAATCTAATTACCACCGGGAAATACATTACTGAAACACATCTCTTTTTCCTGTCCTGATTTTATTTCCAACTTTTTGTTTAGTCTGAGAAGAGAACCAGGTCCGACCCTTTAGATCCTCAGCTTCCTTAAATGTTATCCTTATTTTGCTTTGGGGTTATGTTGCTTAGGAAGGGGTGTATTCTGGATCTGTTTCTCATCCTATGCATGACACTTGTTTAATTTAATTACTCCAATCAGAAGTGCCGTAGGCTTATACTTGCAGAGATGTTGAAGAATGTGTGATCTCTAAGAAAGTTCTCCGAGCTTCAGTTTGAAGAGAAGGAGAAATCCAAATCTTAAAAAAAAAAACACCTCATTTCTCTTGTTTCAGAATCTTGGAATATGGTACAAGATACTCTGAAGTTATACCAGGGAGAACATTTTTAAATGAACTACTCTTCTAATTATGGGGGGGTGAGGGGATTATTTTGCCTACTATCTACTCTTCCTAGCCCCACCCCCAACACATGCACACACATTCTATAATGTAAATCTGAAGGGAATTTATCTCTGGGGTTCAACAATCACTAGGCTCCAATTAGGCACAAGATTGCCAAGTACTTTAATACAAATAGAGGGGTATAATATATGAAAACAGTACTAACAGTGGAGCATAGATTAGAAACTGTTTTCAGATTAAAAACATGCTTAATTTAGACTTCTTTGGTAGCTTGCTACAGAAACTTCTTTATTTGTATTGATTTTAAAATATTTTACTGTTTATTTTTATTTATTTAGATACAGAGAAAGAGAGAGAGGAGCAGAGGGACAGGCGCCCCCAACAGGGTCTTCATGCTGCAATCTCCACGCTAAGTCTCAGGCAGCCCGGACCACAGGTACAGCTCGTGCACTTGTGCTCAGGAAGGCCCCAGGGCACAACCCAGAACCTTGCCAGTTGCATTACCAGCATACTGAGCTTCAACATTTTTTTTTTTTTTAAGAGAGATTTTTGCTACAGGGCATGTACGCTCACCAGAAAGACAGAATAAACAGAGACAGAAAGCAAGAAATCACTCGCTGGGGGGACGGCAACACCACGATCCTTTCTCCTCCATTCTCCTCTCGGGATTTTGGGCACACACATATGCACACACACCCGGTATGAGTTTTAAGTCAACAGATCCAGGACTCGAATTGTAGTCAGCTATGTGGGAGTCCAGCACCATAACCACTACCATTACATCGCCTGCTGATCCCAGCTTCAACTTTTCAATGCTAAACATATACATACATTCTCAGACAGACACACATGTCGGCTAGCCATTTGACTTTACTACCAAAGGGATGATCCTGGTTTTCAGCCTAAAGTGGTGATATGGAAGTATCTTACAAATGATGAAAAATAATAGTGCATTTCTCTTGACACCAACCAACGTAGAAATGGAAAGAGGCAATCTCGTATTTTCTTTTTCTTTTTAGAGTGATTTTTGCCAAAGGGCATGTGTGCTCACCAGAGACACAGAGAAAGAGAGGTGAGAAATAACCCTTGAGAAAGGATGGCCACACTGCAGTCCTTTCTCCTCTAGTCTCCTCTTTAGATTTTGGGCATGCACACATATGCTTTTCAAGTAGTCTTTAGGGTTGACTCAAAGGCACAGTAATACAACACTGCTCAAGAGAAGCCAGATCCCACATGGGGACCACAGTTCCAATCTCCAGCCCAGTCAGCCTTACACATAACTGGTACATGTGCAAGTGCCCAGGATCCAGTGGGCTAGCAGGCTGGAGGAAGGGATCATGATATGACCAGGCCCTGTGGAGGGTTTTCCTTTCTCTCTCTCATACACGCACATGCATGCACACACATGTGCACACTCGATCATAAAGAAAAATATTTTTAAGTAGTCTTTAACTCATAGATACGGTATATCTTGAAAGTAAATTTGAGTATAATTAAAAGTAATACCATCACAACTTTGAGTACAATTGGTAGAGAGCTACTTGAACTGATTCCCTGCTTCAGTGAGATTATGTCTTCCGAACTGTGGCGCTGCTACCCCTAGTCATGTTCTTCAGAGTATTCTATCAAACACTCCAGATGATGAATGTATGCATTTTAATTTTTCAGAACTTTAAAAAAGGAAAATCAGGTAAGGTCAAAAGCAATGCAGAAAAAAGAAATTGATTCTGATTGATCCCATAATATCATTATTATCAACAACTCCTCTTAACTTCTTCAGTCATCTTAGACTCCCAACACATCTCCCTCTGAGCAGAGATAATTATAAAATGTCTCACCGTACACTCTGAGGTCAATGTCCCTTTGTTTCTCCCCAGCAGCATTCACTGCCACGCACGTGTATCTCCCCGTATCACTGATTTGAGCGCTGGTCAATGCAAGGATGCGACCCCCAGAGAGAACCTATCAATGAATAGAAAGCTAAATAACCAATGTGCCCCTGAGATGGTAGGTGGAATGACTGTTCCTTTTATTTTCTGAGGCTAATCAACTGACTTTTGTCTCTAGGAAGATTCCCATTTGGCTATTCTAAAGTGGGCAACCATCACATAATGCCCTTCTCAGTGGAAGGATGGAGGCTAGAAACTAAACTTGATTATAACCACTGAAGGCATATATGGTATGCCTTTGATTTCATCCGCTCTTACTACAAAGAGAGAGGAAATCACCAGGGACACCAGGGAAGAAAGATTAGATATATACATAAAAAGGGGCCAGCAGCTGGCATAGTGCTTATAGTACTTGGACTCTCACATGGCTGAGCATAGTTCGAGTTCCAGACCTGGCAGTTGAAAATCACACAGGGTATGTGTGCATGTATGTCCCAAATCCTAGGAACTGAATGAAAGAGAAGGGTTTGTGATGTGGCCATCCCCTCTAGGGGGTGATTTCTCATTTTCTTCTCATTGTTCCTCTCTGTCTATGATGAATACATGCACCTTATGACAAAAACCTTAAAAAAAAAAAAAGAAAAGAAATATGAATAAGAAGAGCTAATTTCTAGCTTTTCCTTGGCTGAACAGGTAAAATCAGGTAACAACCACAGAGTGGCCAAGGAAATTGATTAGCCACGTTCATTGTCCTTTCACCCCATTAATCCAGTTGTACCTCTAAATATTGATACTAACTCTAGATCTTCTACAATTCCAAATCCTAAAGGCACTGTGTATTCAAGAAAAGTGAAAGAAGTAGAACATTAGGAGAACCATGTTCTCTACTAGGCAAAATAAAATTAAACTTTAAATTATATGTACAGGCTTCTATATTTTTAATTTTGAGTCAATGTAATGCACTTAAATCTTTTTTTAAGACTCAAATTTCATCACTCATGATGTTTGCATTATAATTTTCTTATTTAATTAATTTATTTTGTATAGAAGTATATATGCTCTTTGTGGTTCTCTAATTTTATTAATTTATATATTTAGATTTTTGCCATAGAGTACATGTGCTTGCTGGATAGAGACAAAGAGAGACACAGAGATAGGGAACATGAGAAATCACTACTCATGGGGGATAGTCATGCTACAATCCCTTCTCCTCCATTCTTTTTTCAGAATTTTGTGTGCACACACACATACCCAGCTTGATTTTCAAGCCACAGGGTTCAGGACTGCAACCATGGTTGTCCAAGTGGGAGGCCAATACCTTAACCACCATGCCACCTGCTGGCACTGGCTTTCAGAAATTTAAATGTAAATTCGATCAAAACATGACTATTTCTGTTGTTAAGCATTTCTATGTAGAAGGTATCGCTGTGGCAGTAGGAGGAAGGAGCACGGGTGGGGGAAGGTAGAAAATAGCAAGTGGCTGAAACAAATGGCCAAATACAACATGAATAAGGTGAGAGAAGTTTTAGAAATACTCAGCTTTCCATGAATTGTTTAAAAATTCCAGTGGTCTGGTTTATGGCCCATATACCTGCACACGGGCACTTTCCTTTTTTAACATTTGCTAATCACTGTTTTCTCAATCTGAGCAATACCTTCACCCATTTGTACTTTTCTGTATTGAATAATAAGGTGGTAGATCGCATTGAAGACATAAAAGAAAATACCTGTATTCCATTAGTGAAACTAGACACAGGGCTCCCGTCTTTCAACCAGGTCAGACTTGGGGCAGGAATACCTCTGGCTTCACATTCTAACCGGACCAGATTATTAACCACCACTGCCACCATATTATTGCTGCCAGAAATTGATGGGGGCACTAAAAAAAATAAAAGTAAGTTATGTTGGCGTCATAGGATACATCATCTCAAAATAATGAAAACGGTATGTAATGTTTATAATGGCACTTTCACAGGTGGGTTCTCTGGTTTGTTTTCATTCTGTTCTTTTCACATCTCTTATTTGGGATCTAATCATCCCCCACCCTGGGAGTTGAAGTAGGACAAATATCAGTATCTCCATTTTACAGATGAGGAAAAGGAGGTTTTGCTAGTTTGTCTGAAAATCCCATTTTCACGACAGATCCAACTTTATTTCTTGCTCTCCAGGCTTACGTGTGAGTGTGAGTGTGTGTGTGTCCAGAGCCCAAGTGTATCCCTGTCCACCACATTCACTGTCATGATATGCTAACCTTTCAAAATCATTATTAGAGATAGTAACTTGGAAATATTTAACTAATACCTATGATCCTGGTGAGTACTTACAAACAGTACTTATAATAAATACCTATGATCCTGTCAAAGTAATTATCATTAGCTGATGAGAGCATCAATGACTATTTCAACAACTCATCTAAAGCAAACTTACGTTTAGTAGCATGCACAAGTACAGCATTTTAGTAGGGATCAGGAATAAGAATGTTCATTGATTTTAGAACACTAAGCCCTTAAATAAAGATAGCAATGACACGCTGTTAAATATTTACACTAGAATGTTATGAACACACTTAATCATTTTGCATGTTTCTTTACCCCGAGATGGACCTAGAAGAAGCAGCACTAACCATGAACTTGCAGACTGTAAAACAGCTCTGTAGCTCCTGCTGAGTTGATGGCTACACATTTATATATACCGGCATCTGAGATTTGGGCACTCTCGATATCAATGATCTGTCCTCTGTTCAAGAAAGTCATGCTGGTGGAACCAGAGAGTGGACGATTATCTTTATACCATGTGATAACTGAAAGGGGAAGGAAGAAGATGATCTTTGTAATTGTGTTTCTTAATTCAGTAAACTAAATTGGATTTTAACTAAAAGAGTCACAATTACTTTACTCATATGCTTATTATTTGAGTGAAATCTATTTAAGTAAACATCTCTTTAGGATTCATTTTTAAGAGAAGGGAATCCTAAGAAAAACAGGTCAATGTGAGTTCTGAAAAGATGTTCTTCATATTACCTCTAATATATAAACAATGTTTGATAGTAAAATTCCAACCTATTCTTTTTGTTTTTTTTCTCATCCATAAAAATTTTATCTGTGCATCTAATCCAAATCAAGTATCATACACACTATTAGCCTCAAAAAATTTATATTATTATTGCCATATATGAATAACCTCCCAGTGATGAGAATATACAAAGCTCAGTGTATTTTCATTAGAGTGATTGTGATTTATAATCAGTTTGGTCTAGACTCACTAAGATACTTTCAAAAGGTAAAAATGCATTACTAGGGGCCAGTAGGTGGCATAGTGATTAAGGCACTGGATTCCCACATTGGCTAGTAGCAGTTCGAGTCCCAGATCTGGCAGCTTACTTTCTCACTGTCTATCTCTCTCTGTCTCTCTCCGGTGAGCACATGTACTTACAGCAAATTAAAAATAATAATAATAAATAAAAATAGATAAATAATTATTTTCAAAATACCCTACTATTTTTAATATAAATGTATGCAAATACCATTATGGGTTTTGTGGCCACCACTTGGACAACAGCAATTGAACTAGTCACGTATTTCTTTCTACTTTTTTTTTGAGAGACTTTTGCTCTAGGGTGCTCACTGGAGAGACTGACTGAGACAGAGAGACATAAAGCAAGAAATCACACCCTAGGGGAGATGGCCATGCCACAATCCCTTCTCCATTCTCCTCTCAGGACTTTTGGGCATGCACACACATGTACCTGGTGTGAGTTTTTAAGCTGCCAGGTCTGGGACTCGAACCACGGTCAACTACATGAGAGTGTGAGTCCAGTAACTTAGCTATTATATCACCTGTTGGTCCTTAACTATTCATATATTTCTACATTGTCTGAATAAATAAATTATTTCATGCAGTTAAAAGGAATAAAAGCTATGTCATCTACCTAATGATCTTATCAATGTTTTACCCTTGAACTGTATTCTATAATCTTTTCTTTATTAAACTAAGAAGTCCACTCATAAACAGTTTCAGTTATTCCCAGAAATCTTAAAATATGAATGAGTTAGAGTCCAAAGTGAACGTACCAGGTGGAGGATTTCCAGCTGCCTTGCACTCCAGCTGCACGGGGTTGCTCAGCACCACTGTCTCATTCAGCATCTTGCCAGCATCTTCCAGACTGGGTGGTTCTGCAAGAGGTCCACACAGAATTGTTAGGGGTCTTCAAAAAATTTGTAAAAATGCATATTATGTAAAAACTGTGCAAGGATTCTAAATTTTTTTGCACTAAAGAAACTTATACTTTAATTTCATTTTTCACACACTTTTTGAAGTATCCTATTTCACATAAGTAGGATTTTTCAACTGAATAGTTTGCTCAGTAAAAGAACTGGGATGTTTTCGTTGTTTATTAGCAGGTATTTTCTTTTTATATAACATTTATAACTAAAAATTTCATAAAATAAAAGAAGAAACTAAGCTTTATCTTTAATCATCACTGATAATGCAAAGAAGTATTTTTGTAGCTTAAGAGGCATAATGTAAAAAGAATAACAACTTGTAACATCAATGCCAGATGTTTTCAACAACATCTCAAGGAGTATGGGAGACTGCCAGGAGGAAAAATTGAGGGTGAACCAAATGTCTTGACTTATTAAGAAATAATGGTGTAGACATAAATTAGTATTTGAAGTTTATAGAAAACAATACATTTAGGGATTTGTCTTATTCTGTGCACTAGAGAACCCCACTCCATACCCAATCAATTAGTTAGTTAGTCCATTAATCTTATCAAAAGCAAGAGAGAGAGAGAATAGAAAGCAAGAAAAAAAAAGATTAGAACTAAATAAAAAGTCAGCAACTAAATAAAATACATAAGTCAAGACATAGATATGAATGAGTTATTTCCTTGTTTATTAGACTTTTAGACACATTTTAAAATGGCTTACTTAAAATAATGAACTTTTGAAAATACCTTTATGGATTGGCACTGATTTTCAATTAAAAAACCAAACCCCACAAAAATGCTAATAAAGAACTGGACAAAGGTACAACCAGAGAACTATCTGACATCAGTTTCTGTAAAACTGGTAGGAAAATCAAAAGTCATTAAGTATAACACAAAAACACGCTTTCTATTGATTAAAATGTTACAAATCACGAATAATTCTTTATAAGGATAATGATTGAATTACAAAGCAAAAAATGGTATAAAGCAAGAAAAGTTTGAAAAATCAAAAAAGGAACATATTTCAAAATGTCCTCCTCAAAAACTGACTTTGTGAGACAAATAATAAAGGTACAAAGAATTTTTAAAATAAAATTATCCATCCAGATTGTGCATTTATGGGTATATATAGTTATCAAAGAATATGTATTGTTTTCAAAGGCCAATGGAAGCTTTTTAAAATATAATATTAAGCCACAAAATTATAAATAAAGTTTTTTTTTTCTTTTAGGTATTTACTATAGGGTGTGTGCACTCACCAGAAAGAGACAGAGAGAGGGAAAGTGAGAAATCGCTCCCTGGGGGAATAGCCACACCCCAATCCCTTGTCCTCCATTCTCCTCTTGGGATTTTGAGCATGCACACACACACACACACACACACACACACACACACACACACATCTGGCATGATTTTCAAGCTTCTAGGTCTGGCACTCAAAACGCATTTGGTCATGCGAGAGTCCAGTGTCTTAAATACCATGTCAACTATGGCCCAATAAGTGAAGTATTCTATAACCAAAATCTAATAAATAAATGGTAAATAAAGAATAGAAACCAGTAACAAAAATATTAAGCTATTTATATGAGAAAAAAATCTCATTAAAGATGATTTTAAGGCTTAGAAAAAAGTAAATTAGAGTCCTCCATGGGAGCTGAAAACTAGTGTTTTCAGGGTGTAAGAAAAATGAAGATTTTCTGCTGAGAATTCGCCTGTTAGAGCCCCCTGTATCTTTCTCTCTGTCTCTCTCTCTCTTTCTGTCTCTCCATCTCTCTCTGTCTTTTGATTTTTAAAATTTTTATTTAAAAAAATTTTTAAGGTAAAGTATTTTCTTGGCTATCAGATCCTCCTTTTTCTTGTTAATAATCCCCTCCCTCTCTCCCAATTAGGAGAGGCAAAAAGGGAACGCCTTCAGAAGAAGACTGAGTCCTCCATGGGAGCTGAGAACTAGTGATTTTGAAGGTGCCGCATGGTCTTCATTTTTTGTTTTTAAAAATAAAAAATAAAATATTTTTTCCTTTTTTTTCTCTTTTTTCCCTTTTTCTTCTCTCTCTTTCTGTTTTCTTATCCTTTTTCTTTTACCTTTTCTTTTACCTCACTTTGCTGCTCAGCATCCATGCACTGAGTATCTAAATAGGTCTAAGTGAACCACAGCCAAACATCCGAATACTATTAGGGTCAACATATTTCTCAATTCCCACTGAATCTGCCACAAAAAGGAAGAAAAAACAGAACAGTAAAGAATGTGCAGATCACCTCCTCCTGCATGCCTCTGTACACTCAGATTGAGCTTCTAGAAATTAGGAAGAAATGAATAACCCATCAGATGACTAGAAATCACCACAGAGGCACAAGAAATATGACAAACCAAGGAAATATCTCTCCTCCAAGGGAAAAGAATAATTCTTCTTCATCCACAGACAGTACAATGGAATTCAAAGAAATGTCTAATAAAGAGTTTAGAATATTCATAGTGACAAAGCTAAAAGAAAGAGAAGAGGCAGTTAGAAAATATCTGACAAGGAGGGGCGGAAGTTCTTATGAGATCTGAAAGAGGAGAGACACCCAATGAAAGAGAATCAAATGGACCTGTCAGAGATGAAGGCTATAAGATAGAGAGTCAAAACCTCCCTTGAAAGTATTAAAAACAGACTAGATCATACAGAAAATTGAATCTCAGATGTAGAAGACAGACTCACTGGACTAGAAATATATACCACAAAGACTGAGAAAATAGCCCCCCAAAAGAAGAAAAATATACAAGAAATACTAGATACCATTAAACGTCCAAACATTCAGATAATCGTCATCCCAGGAGACTAATAACGGCGCTGATAATCTATTCCATGAAATCCTGGATGAAAACTTTCCAAACCTAGAGAGGCATTCAAAGATCCAGACCCGAGAAATAAAAAGGGCCCCAAATAGAATCAACCCAAGAAGATCTTCTCCAAGACACATTAGAGCCAGGTTGACCAAAATCACAGACAAAGACAGGATACTAAGATTGGCAAGAATGAAACGTTAAGTTACCTACAAAGGATATCCCATCCAGCTAATAGTGGACTTCTCATCGGAAACAATGCAAGCAAGAAAAGAATGGGAAAATATACTCAAAGTGTTGAGTCAAAAACAGTTTCAACCAAGAATACTATATCTAGAAAAATTATCCTTCATGTGGGAAGGGAAGACAAAAACAATCTCAGACAGACAAAACCTGAAAGAATTTACCAACACCAGACCAGTTCTCCAAGAAGTTTTGAAGGGAGTGTTAGCTCAGGAAAACAAAAATCAGACACAAAGAATTAAGAGTTCAAAAACAACTAAGAAAATGGTCAGTTTAATTGTAGGAACAAGTCTGGAGTTGAATATTATACCCCAGAATTTAACTGGGAATATTGGACCACACTAAAGATAAAATACATGAGACTGAACTGATGAAATAGAATTTTATGACTTTTCACTAAAATATTACTGATCTTCTATGCTTTGTTTTCCAGAGTTAAAGGTTTTTGTCTTCTCTTAAGTTGTTGACAGGTCCATGTAACTACTATTTGAACAGAATCCTAACCTGTTTCCTGGCTTTAAGTCTTAAGCTTAACATTTTTTTATTTCAATTAAAGCTAAAACTGTCTTTCTTAAAATTAAAAAAACATATTAAAAATACCTATTTAATGATGGCAGTAAGCTATAGAGCCTTAGCTAGGTGCTACTTTATAGTATATTCATTCTACTCACAGAGTTTCATGCCTAAAGTTAACATGTGTTCCCAAATATGGATATATTAGTTGAACTCACTATTGAAAGTAGTTAGATAAATTAAACACACACACACACACACACACACACACACACACACATATATACATTATATATATATAAAATGTGTATATATATACATATATAATGTGTATATATATATATACATATATATATATATAAAACAAGAAATGGAAAATTATTTGTTGATGATAACATGTATGATTAAGCAACTATACAGTGTATTCTGGATGGGAAATAGCATTTTGTATGCTGTGATGTTCAGTAAAAGAATGTAATATTAATTAATTAATTTTTAAAAATGTAAATTAGAGTAAAATTAATTAACGTGAAAACTTATAGGACCAAAACAATATGGTTCTGGCAATAAATCTTAAGTCTTAACATTAACATATTAAAAACTAGGAACTGATGAAAATAAACATTCTGAGCATTCAACCTAGACTATAAAAAAAGATCAGTACAATAAACCCAAGGAGGCTAGGAATAAAAACTAATAAAAATAACAGCAGAAAGTAACACAAGAAAACAAACAAAAAAAACAAAGATGATCAAATTCAAAAAAATTTTTTGAGAAGTCTAAATGAAGTCCACCCTCAGAAACAGATGTCTTAAAGGTCAGATCTGTGTTTCTGGGACTCATACTGAAGGCTCACCCTAGAACCTATTCTTTCTTCACTCCTACAATTCTTTTTGTGTTTATTTAATTCCATGTGTTCTCCTTTCCTGTTTGAAATGCTTAGCATGTTTCTGTTTTCTGCACTAAATTCTGATGACCAATACAGTATTTAAGGACAAAAAGACATCTAGATATGACCTAATTTTTCCAGCTGGAAAAGAAAAAAATCATCAGTCTATGACACATTCCTTCAAAACAGTTACTTAAGTATTCACTTGAGACCTTCTGGACTGAAGTGCTCACTGAAGGCCCTGACAGGTGATCTGGCTGCTGCCATAAAACATGATGGTGGGAATAAGAACCATGAGAGCTATGAAGTGAGTTGACTGTTTCTCCATGGACTAGAGAACTCTCTCTCTCTCTCTCTCACACACACACACACACACACACACACACACACACACATATAAATACTGGATGTCAGCAATAATGGCAGAGGAAGGATTTGGAAAATCTACTCCATTAAAGAAAAGAGAACACACACAAAAAAATAGTAAAAAAAA